TCGAACTTTATGCAACTGCTGCAACTACAGAAGCTACATACTCCCGAGTTGCGTGCCTGGCTGGAGCAACGAGTGGATAAGTACTGCTCCCCCAAAATCCAGAACGAAATCCTTCATCTAATGTCGCATAGCATACTCCGGAATGTGGCCAAGTCCATCCATACTGCTGAGGTGTTCAGCGTTATGGCCGATGAGTACGCAGACGTATCTAACAAGGAACAACTGGCGTTGTGCTTCCAGTGGGTTGACCAGGAGTTGGAAGCTCATGAAGATTTCGTTGGTTTGTTCCAGATTGACAACATATCTGCAGATACGATCGTTGCGGCTATCCGGGAGTGCATGCTGCGACTCAACCTCCAACTCAACCGTTGCCGAGGCCAATGCTACGACGGTGCCTCAAATATGGCTGGCCACAGATCTGGTGTGGCGAAGCAGTTGGGAGATGAAGAGCCAAGGGCTCTTTTTGTGCACAGCTACGGGCACTCTCTGAACCTGGCAATGTGCGACGCCATCAAGACGACTGTGCTGACCAGAGATTCCCTCGATGTCACCAGCGAGATCAGCAAGTTAATTAAGTACTCGCAAAAACGGAATGCCCGATTTGACGTCCTGAAGGGTGAGATCTCGCCCTACACACCAGGATTCCGTGTGCTGTGCCCGACCCGCTGGACAGTGCGAGGTAAGAGTCTGCAAAGCATCCTGGATAACTATCTGGTCTTGCAAGAACTGTGGGATGAAGTTCTGGCTGGGAGTGTGGACCCCGACGTGCGTGCTCGCGAGACTTTCAACTTCTTCTTTGGAATCAGTTTGGCCCGTCTTGTCCTGGCACATGGTGACAACCTCTCTGTTTCCCTCCAGAGTTCAACAATGTCTGCTGCCGAAGCCCAGAAAATAGCACGTTTGACGGTGAACACAATCACAAAGATGCGCAGAGAGAATTCATTCTCGATGTTCTGGGAGGCTGCTGTGGCAAAAAGTCACCAGTTTGATGTCTCTGAACCGCAGTTCCCTCGCAAACGCAAACGTCCACAGAGGTATGAAGGTGGAGATGAGCCAGCATACCACCCCAGCTCCCCGGAAGGCCACTTTTGGCAGCTGTATTTTGAAGTGCTTGACAGTGCCAAGTCCTCCATCCAGACCCGGTTTAATCAGAAGGGCTTCGCCATATACACGGAGATGGAGAACCTTCTCTTGAAGAGTGCCAAAGGGGTGGACGCTACAGACGAGTTCAAGGCAGTGACAGAGTTGTACGGCGAGGATCTCGACTCCAACCTCCTTCTTACCCAGTTTTCACTCCTTCAGACGCAGCTGACCTCTGATGACGATGTCACGTTTAGGTCTGTGCTGAAGTTCTTGCGGGGCTACTCCACATCTCAGAGGCAGCTTCTGTTTGAAGTTGTGAAGCTGGTGCGCTTGATTCTGGTAAGCCCAGCTACCAACGCCATCAGCGAGAGATCCTTCTCAGCAATGCGGAGAATCAAGACCTATCTCCGCTCCACAATGGGCCAGAGTCGGTTAAATTCAGTCATGCTCCTCCAGACGCACAAGGACAGGACAGATGCACTGTCTTTGGTGTAGTTGGGCAATGCCTTCATCGATGTCACCAGCAGTGATCACCGCCGCTCAATATTTGGCACATTCACGGATGCTGATCTTGCAGCTAAGTAACCCAGCTAGCAGTTTGCCTGGGATTGCTCTTCTTGTCTTTTTTCTGCGGCTTTGGCTTTCGTACACAGCAGCGGGACCATGCACAGTAATAATTATTCTACTTATTGTTTCAATGCATATTGTACGCCATCTGTCACATATTATTATTTCTTGCCTGCATTTCTTTTCCTCGCTAGTTTTGCTGAGAGTTTTGTACACCTATTCAATGGTGGATGAGATAACAGGTTTTGAATGCTGTCCATAGTTGTTTTCTTGGAAATAGTAAAACAATGCCAAAAGTGCCCAGAATGCAGGATTTTGCACCCTAATTTCAAAATATTTCCGGGGGAGATCCCAACCACCCCCCCCCCCCCCCCCCTGGCCGGACCACCGTGCTACGCGCCTGGGTAAAGTGTGTAAAGAGAACTGCGTGCAGAAGTGTAGGCAGTAGTGCAGGCAGAAGTGTAGGCAGTAGTGTAGGCAGTAGTGTAGGCAGGAGTGCAGGCAGTAGTGTAGGCAGTAGTGTAGGCAGTAGTGTAGGCAGTAGTGTAGGCAGTAGTGCAGGCAGTAGTGTAGGCAGTAGTGTAGGCAGTAGTGTAGGCAGTAGTGTAGGCAGTAGTGTAGGCAGTAGTGTAGGCAGTAGTGTAGGCAGTAGTGTAGGCAGTAGTGCAGGCAGTAAGTAGTGTAGGCAGTAGTGAGGAGTGGGAGGCAGGACTGAGCAGCGTGGGAGGGAGTGTGGGAAGGAGTGCTGGCAGGCGTGTGGGCAGGAGTGTGATCAAGAATGCAAGCAGAGAAGTGAGGGGAGGAGAATGAGCGTCTTCAGAAAGGCTGGCAGGAGTGTGATCAAGAATGCGAGCAGAGAAGTGAGCGGAGGAGTATGAGCATGTTCATAAAGGCTGGCAGGAGGGTGGTCAGGAGTGTGGGTAGGAGTGTGATCAGGAATGCGCGCAGAGACGTGTGGGCAGGGGAGTGTGGGCAGGGAGTGTGGGCAGAGAAGTGTGGGCAGAGAAAAGAGGGCAGGGAGTGTGGGCAGAGAAGGGTGGGCAGGAGAGTGTGGGCAGGAGTGTGATCAGGAATGCGCGCAGAGAAGTATGGGCAGGGGAGTGTGGGCATGGGAGTGTGGGCAGGGAAATGTGGGCATGGGAGTATGGGCAGGGGAGTGTGGGCAGAGTGTACACTGTTCTTCTGAAACGGTGGTCAACTGGGGAAGCTAGGCCCGCTCACGCTGTGGCCAGTAACTGTGTGGGTGCACTAACCAAGGATGGCATAATGTCAGCCAGTAAACACATATCCGTGAACCCGGAACCATGGTAGAGAAGTGTGGGCAGGGGAGTGTGGGCAGGGGAGTGTGGGCAGGGAGTGTGGGCAGGGGAGTGTGGGCAGGGGAGAGTGGGCAGGGAGTGTGGGCAGGGGAGTTTGAGCAGGGGAGTGTGGGTAGAGAAGATTGGGTAGAGAAGTGTGGGCAGGGGAGTGTGGGCAGGGAGTGTGGGCAGGGGAGTGTGGGCAGGGGAGTGTGGGTAGAGAAGGGTGGGTAGAGAAGTGTGGGCAGGGGAGTGTGGGCAGGGAGTGTGGGCAGGGGAGTGTGGACAGGGAGTGTGGGCAGGGAGTGAGGGCAGGGAGTGTGGGCAGGGATTGTGGGCAGAGAAGTGTGGGCAGAGGAGTGTGGGCAGGGGAGTATGGGCAGAGAAGTGTGGGTAGGGGAGTGTGGGCAGGGGAGTGTGGGCAGGGGAGTGTGGGCAGGGGAGTGTGGGCAGGGGAGTGTGGGCAGGGGAGTGTGGGCAGGGAGTGTGGGCAGGGGAGTATGAGCAGGGGAGTGTGGGTAGAGAAGATTGGGTAGAGAAGTGTGGGCAGGGGAGTGTGGGCAGGGAGTGTGGGCAGGGGAGTGTGGGATGGGGAGTGTGGGTAGAGAAGGGTGGGTAGAGAAGTGTGGGCAGGGGAGTGTGGGCAGGGAGTGTGGGCAGGGGAGTGTGGGCAGGGAGTGTGGGCAGGGAGTAAGGGCAGGGATTGTGGGCAGGGATTGTGGGCAGAGAAGTGTGGGCAGGGGAGTGTGGGCAGGGGAGTGTGGGCAGAGAAGTGTGGGCGGGGAGAGTGTGGGCAGGGGGGAGTGTGGGCAGGGGAGTGTGGGCAGAGAAGTCTGGGCAGGGAAGTGTGGGCAGAGAAGTGTGGGCAGGGGAGTGTGGGTAGAGAAGGGTGGGTAGAGAAGTGTGGGCAGGGGAGTGTGGGCAGGGAGTGTGGGCAGGGGAGTGTGGGCAGGGAGTGTGGGCAGGGAGTGAGGGCAGGGAGTGTGGGCAGGGATTGTAGGCAGAGAAGTGTGGGCAGGGGAGTGTGGGCAGGGGAGTGTGGGCAGAGAAGTGTGGGCGGGGAGAGTGTGGGCAGGGGGGAGTGTGGGCAGGGGAGTGTGGGCAGAGAAGTCTGGGCAGGGAAGTGTGGGCAGAGAAGTGTGGGAAGGGGAGTGTGGGTAGAGAAGGGTGGGTAGAGAAGTGTGGGCAGGGGAGTGTGGGCAGGGAGTGTCGGCAGGGAGTGTGGGCAGGGGAGTGTGGGCAGGGAGTGTGGGCAGGGAGTGAGGGCAGGGAGTGTGGGCAGGGATTGTGGGCAGAGAAGTGTGGGCAGGGGAGTGTGGGCAGGGGAGTGTGGGCAGAGAAGTGTGGGCGGGGAGAGTGTGGGCAGGGGGGAGTGTGGGCAGGGGAGTGTGGGCAGAGAAGTCTGGGCAGGGAAGTGTGGGCAGAGAAGTGTGGGCAGGGGAGTGTGGGCAGGGGAGTGTGGGCAGAGAAGTGTGGGCAGGGAGTGTGGGCAGGGGAGTGTGGGCAGGGGAGTGTGGACAGGGGTGTGTGGGCAGAGAAGTGTGGGCGGGGAGAGTGTTGGCAGGGGGAGTGTGGGCAGGGGAGTGTGGGCAGAGAAGTCTGGGCAGGGGAGTGTGGGCAGGGAAGTGTGGGCAGAGAAGTGTGGGCGGGGAAGAGTGTGGTCAGAGAAGTATGGGCTGGGAGTGTGGGCAGGGGGAGTGTGGGTGGGGGAGTGTGGACAGAGAAGTGTGGGCATGGAGTGTGGGCTGGAAGTGTGGGCAAGGGCAGCGTGGGCAAAGTGTGCAAACAGGAGTGTGGGCAGGAGTTTGGGCGTTGGCAAGAGTATGAGCAGGAATGCATGCAGGAGTACGGCTAGCAATGTGGGCAGCTACATGTGTGTGTGCAAGTATCGAATTTTGTCATCAAATGGTTTGTATGTTCCATGTTTGTTCATTTTGAATGTGTTTGTGGGTTTGTATGTGTGTGCGTGTGTGTGAGTGTGTGTGTGTGTGTGTGTGTGTGTGTGTGTGTGTGTGTGTGTGTGTGTGTGTGCGTGTGTGTGTGTATCTACAGCCATGCCATGTGGTCAACGGACGAACGCATTGCAAACCTGTACAAGGAGGATGAAGCGGAGCTCTCTGAACAAACAGGTGCGTTATTCCTTTTAAAATAAGACTGCTCTCTTTATCCTGTTCTCATCTATCTACACTCAACTGCCCTTCAATTTGTGTGCTGTTACCATTGTTGTCTTAGTCTGTCTGTATGCTATATACATACCCGAAAACACACAAAAATACATACCTTCTTGTCTACCTTCTTGCTCTATATACACTGGCTTATACTTCATTACATATTCACCCTCATGCAATTGGCCATCTACAGGCGTAGTGGATATTGGTAGATATTCACCGCTTATATTCACCACTTTTCGATACTTACTGTAAAGAGAACAGTACTTGGTGCTGCGCTTGATTTCTCTTCAGTCAGCGCACCGGAGATGGCGAGTGCCGTGGGACATTTCTACGCTAACTTCTGCAAACAGGACCTTTCTGAGTACAAATTAAATCGGCATGTGACCAGGTGGTGACAAGTCATCAGCCAGCGAGCAAACAAGGTTTTGTTCGATCGGCATGTGCATGGATAGCGGATCGAGCGGCAAGCAAGGAATTTCGTTTGTACTCAGAAATGTTTTGCTTATGGACGTTGGCGTAGAACTTTTCTAAGGCACGCAACAGCTCCGGAGCGCTGCCTGGAAAGAAAATATGGGCGGGCAGAATCGCTTACACTAGTGAGGTTTTGCATTCCGAACTTCGGTACAGCGTTCTTCGGTCATTTGTCGAACATCAAAATGTCGAATTTTCGCACCAACGTTTGTTTTGCAAGTCGAAAATGATGTGTTTTCATTTCGTGAGCCCCAGCATCAGCAACGTCCTGTCCCGTGCTCCTTTTCTTGCTGATTCCAACGAACTTTGATCGCCCAAAGAGTCAAGGGCCAAACCTTCCTCCTCAGTCGCCTCAGAAAAACCAACTCCTTGGCCAAGTCAAATTTTATGCGTGTCGCCATAGTCTTTTCAGCCACACAGATGATGGTGAGAACACTCCAGGCGAAAGAGAGTAGACAGGCAGTGGAGAGGAGCAATCAGAGGTTGCTGACGATGCTATGTCGCCAAAGACGCCTGCCAAGCGATGCCGAGATAAGAAACCTCTTTGAATAAATCACGCACTAGCGCTCTTCTACAAGAAAATGCATCCGAAAAAATATTTTCGGCAAAGTGAGCTTTTTCCGAACAAACACGCCGAATCTTCGTGTGCATTTTCGACCTCGCTCCCGCGTGCCGAATCTTTTTGCTGAATTTCGGAATGCAAAACCTCGCTATTGCTGTCTATTAACCGACTCCCGAAAATGATCCTCACAGATTGGTCAAATTTTCTCATCGAAACGGGGACGATGATTGGCTCACGTAAAGCACGAGCGTGCTCTCTAAGGTGATTGGCTCGAGTGTGTTCTCCAAGGTCTACGCGTCCCGTGCCATATGCACCAGTACGTGTCCACGATCTGTCCTTACAAACTTGAACAAGATTCTGTCAAGAACACTTCGCTCTCCGATTCATGCAAGAGCATGTCAGCCGGTAGTGAAGTAACAACGACTTACGTTAGTTCTGCGTACATGTTCATGTATGACCAACGTGACTCGTTTGTTCAGCTGTACGGATAACTGTTTTCTGATGATCGCTTAGTGCGTGAAACGCAGAGTTAAAATACTATCTTTGTCCTCTTATTGTTTGAACCCGCTCTGCCTCTCGGTATTGAGCACTCTCTTGGACAGCCTGGAACCTCTCTGTTTGACAGACAGATATATTCATAAATAGGAACAGCACACTAATTAAAGGACAGTTGACCGCAGATAGATGTGAACCGGATAACGGGAGAAGTCTAGAAATACTGACTGAGAACAGAATGTTTTAAATGGAAAGAAGACGGTATGCACGAGGATTACAAGGACGGGTCACAATGCAGAATAGCACTTCTAATTGAAGTACGTGGGATGGTCAGATTAATTCCTGGACCGCGCCAGCTGGTGAAAATCCTCGCGCGGAAGCACGTAGTAGTGAAGTGAAAAACCAGGTGCATGTCCTCAATGGTGATTGTATGGCATCATAGAAGCAGGCAAATCACATCATAGCAAGATTTAATTTGAAAAAGCAAGATTGATGTGCACAGAAAAGGTTGGGAGGGCAAGGACCCTGAGGAGACTCAAACCTGATCGAGGAAGCCAGGAAAAGAAACAACGATAAAGAACACATTAGATGCCATACTTGCAACCCAAAAATATTGCCCGAGAAAATTGTTATTACCTACCTCGCTGCGCTTGCCTGTCCAGAAATGTAATGTCCTTCTTTGGAAAGTGCTTGACTTATGCTGAGTGCATGAGTCAATGGTGTGTTACTTATCACCAGTGTGTGGATTAAACGTGTGTGACTAATCATGAGTAGAAAGATTACCAATCTCATTGCACACCTATCCCATATGTGTATGCCTGGTGATGTAAAACAAACTGTATCATCTTGTCTTGAATGTGCTGGAGAAAAGAAAAGCATTGCAAGCACCGTGAATACAAATTCCGAGCCAGGTACCTACATGTAGGTGTAGGAGTATTGCAGAAATCTCGTTATTGTCAGATGTGAAAACTGTGGCTACATTCATAGCAAAGTCAATCACAGTGTTGTGGCAGCATGCATTATGAGGCGAATGCACAACTTAAAAACTTGATGTCGATAAGGACGCGTTCAACCGATAAAAAAGGCAAGAATAGTATCAGTAAGGCGGACATTACGAAACAAAAAGAAGAGAATAATAATTAAAATGAATCTAAATGCAAAATTTCCTGATCATTTTTCATGACACACTCATCATGGAAAGCTATTATCTCCTCATCGCTTATTTAAAGTAGAATGTGCTCAATACACCATGTGCGCTCTCTGTATGCTACTGCTAGTTTACTTACTTGTGTGCAAATGTCTACTTCACACTATCTTGCAACACAACTTGATCTATGGGCTTACTCAGGTCTCAAAGAGAACTTCAGTTTGCATGGGATTCTATACGAAAAAAAGAATTATTTTCCCTGTGGATAATAAACACATGACTGGTTAGGTATGTGTGTTATGCTGATCTTTAGCATTTAATACACATTCCTATAATCGAATATTTCTGCACAGAGACATGGATATTTTTTTAATTCACTTCCTCTACTGTTCAATCAGACTCGGCAGAGAGCGTTCCTTCGAACAGCCAGTCACACTCTGATCAAGCCAGTCAGTCCACTGCCGCTCGGCAAGATGATGCTGGTAAAGTTGAATGTGCTCAATACACCATGTGTGCTCCCTGTATGCTAGTGTTAGTTTACTTGTGTGCAAATGTCTACTTCACACTATCTTGCAACACAACTTGAGCCTCTAGATCGGAAAAGAGGTTTTTTCTATTTTTGCTGTTTGGTATTGTATTGGTTTAGTTGAATTGGGTATCTCAACACTACAATAAGTACAACTTGCGAACATACACGCTTATGTAGTTTCATGCAGTACTGAGAAAATGCATTTTAAAGTTGTGTGTTTTCCGCATAAAGTGATGTATAACTCACTTTTTGCCAGCTAACTGGCCTCTCCGCCTACACCGCAGACACACCCACACACAACAGAAACATACAGATCACAGTAGTAGTGTGGTCTTTGTTCACTCACGGTGGAAGATGGAAGAGCTTAGCGTAGTGTATAGATGAGCATGAAGAAGGGCATGCCACCTCACGCATATACATTGTACACATATGTACCAGACCAACATGATGCAAAAAGTGAACTAATGTGGCGAATGGGGCCGCCGGATAATTAACCAGCTCGAAGCTGGCGGAAAAAACCTCAGGACCCCGGCGGAAGCACAACCCTGAGGAAAAACCGATTAGAATAACCCCATAAGATAAATGAACAAAACGTAGCCTGCAGGATCTATCCCGAAGTGAGAATAAAGGGGGGGGGGGAGGGGGGGAAACTACAACGAAAAGAGAAAGACCACGATGAAGAGAAAAGTTTGAGAACACTGACAAAAAAACGGCTGACGCAATCCTGCTGCCGTAACTATGGTGAAAATGCTGGTAAAAATACATTTTTCGTTTCATTGGCTACGCTCAGCCAACGAAAAATAACACTTTTTGCCAGCTAGCTGGCCTCTGCGTACACCGCAGACACACCCACACACAACAGAAAGATACAGATCACAGTAGTAGTGTGGTGTTTGTTCACTCACGACGGAAAGGATAGCCGACCCCACAGTCACTGGTGCAGTGTAGCGCGAGACACCGACAGCATGTCCTTGACGGAATCCACAACATACACGTTCTTACATGTGGATGACTTCCAACCCCCTTGCCGCTGAAGAAGGCGCTCTGGCACACCAGCATTGGCCGCTGCCGTCGCTCCCCCTAGCGGAGACTGTGCCTGCTATACCCTGTGTGGTCTTCACCTACGCGGGCGAGAGCTGTGTGGATCAATTTGCGTGCCCGGGCGTATGTCATCTTTCCCCGCAGACATGACTGGTGGGTTGCTGCGGAGACCTTGCCAAAGAGAGGTTGAGTGGGTGCATGGCGTGCTCTCTCCAAGAGACCCTCTATGACCGACACAGGACATGGTGTAGTAGCCTGCTGCTCCAGTCGGCTCACCATGACCACATCGCCCTGGCGCAACTGGTCGTTCTTGCGTCGTCGCAGGTGTAGGGACATATGCGTGCCGCCAATGGAGATATCCTGAGGCGTGAGGCGCTGTAAATCGTCCCAGCGAAGCAGAGCAGTGTTTCGTCGGCCGAACTGTGCAGGCGACCGTGACATATACTGCTGGCTGGGGGTGCGAAAATTCCGCTGCTGATGCTCCCGCGTGCTATCAGGACGTGCTGCTATCCGCCGTGCTGTTGCAGCCGCCTCAGCAATCCTCTTGTCATCTGCCATCCCGTCACGCCGCACCCCGTTTTCATAAACTTCGACTGTTTTCCAATCGTAAGCGTCCGCAATCTGGAGATGCTTCTGGAGGAGGGTCAGGGTCACCTTACTTTTTGCTAGGTATGCAGGCGCGTCATGACCTGATGGCAGTTGAGTGAGCGCTCCCTTTACGCCATCGAGCACAGTTGGGTTTACGTCGAATTGTTTTTGCAGGCCAGCTTGCTTCAACGTGACCTGGTTCGACTTGGAGGCTGCCAGCTCAGCCCGCGCAGCCCTCGTCTCTCTCTTGACATCCTGGATCTCCTCTGACAGCTGTCCGAAGGCCTGCGCGAACCAAGCTGGCGGGGAGCCGGCAAACTCCGGGGAATCCACCATGACAGGATCTGGAGCAGGTACTTGCTCCTCGACGTTGCCAGCATGGATACGCTTTCGGGCCGTGCCGACAGCTCCAGGTGAGGCGGACCGGGTCCACTATTTTCTGGGTGGAACTGGGATTTGAACCAGGGGTGCAAGCGAAACGCTTGCCAGCGAGTTTTTACTTCTCGTTTGTGGCATGGATAAACTCTTCCACGGACGAAGGAAAAATGCAAACTACAACGAAAAGAGAAAGACCACGATGAAGAGAAAGGTTTGAGAACACTGACAAAAAACAGCTGACGCAATCCTGGTGCAGTAACTATGGTGAAAATGCTGGCAAAAAAATACATTTTTTGTTTCATTCGCTACGCTCAGCCAACGAAAAATAACTCACGTTTTGAAACACCTATAACTCTGTGAAACATGACAATTTTAGACCTAGGTGTTTTTACAAAGTGATCTGCTGGGATACAGCAAAGCCAGGGTATAGATCACTCAAAATGCTCAAAAATGACATAAGCCACCTTTTTGAATTTAGAGGCTCATTTGATCTATGAGCTTGCTCAGGTCTCAAAGAGAACTTCAGTTTGCAGGAGATTCTGTACGAAAGAAAGAGTAATTGTCTCTGTGGTTAGTGAATACATGACAAGTAGAAGAGTCATTGTCTCTGTGGATAGTGAATACATGACAAGTAGAAGAGTCATTGTCTCTGTGGATAGTGAATACATGACAAGTAGAAGAGTCATTGTCTCTGTGGATAGTGAATACATGACAAGTAGAAGAGTCATTGTCTCTGTGGATAGTGAATACATGACAAGTAGAAGAGTCATTGTCTCTGTGGATAGTGAATACATGACAAGTAGAAGAGTCATTGTCTCTGTGGATAGTGAATACATGACAAGTAGAAGTGTAATTGTCTCTGTGGATAGTGAATACATAACAAGTAGAAGAGTCATTATCTCTGTGGATAGTGAATACATGACAAGTAGAAGAGTCATTGTCTCTGTGGATAGTGAATACATGACAAGTAGAAGAGTAATTGTCTCTGTGGATAGTGAATACATGACAAGTAGAAGAGTAATTGTCTCTGTGGATAGTGAATACATGACAAGTAGAAGAGTAATTGTCTCTGTGGATAGTGAATACATGACAAGTAGAAGAGTCATTGTCTCTGTGGATAGTGAATACATGACAAGTAGAAGAGTAATTGTCTCTGTGGATAGTGAATACATGACAAGTAGAAGAGTGATTGTCTCTGCGGATAGTGAATACATGACAAGTAGAAGAGTCATTGTCTCTGTGGATAGTGAATACATGACCAGTAGAAGAGTCATTGTCTCTGTGGATAGTGAATACATGACAAGTAGAAGAGTAATTGTCTCTGTGGATAGTGAATACATGACAAGTAGAAGAGTCATTGTCTCTGTGGATAGTTAATACATGACAAGTAGAAGAGTCATTGTCTCTGTGGATAGTGAATACATGACAAGTAGAAGAGTAATTGTCTCTGTGGATAGTGAATACATGACAAGTAGAAGAGTCATTGTCTCTGTGGATAGTGAATACATGACAAGTAGAAGAGTCATTGTCTCTGTGGATAGTGAATACATGACAAGTAGAAGAGTAATTGTCTCTGTGGATAGTGAATACATGACAAGTAGAAGAGTAATTGTCTCTGTGGATAGTGAATACATGACAAGTAGAAGAGTAATTATACTTCAGAATGCTCTGTCTCCATATCAATGTGTTTGGCCTAGTTTCCTAACTCTTGATAGCTTTTTTGTAGTGAAAATTCATGAATTTTGTGATTTTATTTGAATCCTTGGTTTTAACGCATGCGTGGAACACCAGGTTTCGTTGATAAAAGCCCTTGTTCCCTCTATGTTCTTCGGCCTTTTTTCTAGCTCGCTCGAAGTAAGTTTCTTGGCAAGCTGTTCGATCTCGTTATCGACTGTTGTCTTGTACAGTACTTCCTCTTGGTTGTATTTCTAACTTGGTGTGTCTCTGTGCTTACTGTAGACCGCCTTTCAATCGTCAAACTGTCAAGTCCACTCTCAAGGATGGACTCGTCTGCAAGCTCCTTTACCTCTCCCGATGCTGCTGGTCAATCATCGAGGATCATGGCGGACATGATGAGCCAGTTTGGAAAGGTCTCGCAGGTGATGGAGCAAATCGGCTCAGACGTTTCAAGTATTGCGGAACGAGTGTCTGCTCTGGAAGCGGCTCAATCCCGCCCTGACCCGGCACGAAGTGCCTCTATTTCGTTTTCCGCTCTGGCGCCAAGAGCTTCTTCAACACCGGGTAAAACCCGTGAGATCCCCAACCCCTCGGACTGTGAGTCAGAAGAGGAAATGGACGAGTCAAGCTTGCTTGACAAATCGTCTCAGGATTTCAAAGTGTCCTCGGATACTTTGGAATTCTTTCGGGAGAAATTTACAACAACTACCTCGAACGAAGTTCGGCGCCAATGGCGTAGTCGTTTTGGGCGCCCCAAAGTAGATGTGGCCTCTGCGCCCATCATGGACAAGATGGTGAAGTCCCGATTACACCCTGCGACCAAGTCGCGAGACAAGGCCCTGTCGAAACAACAGGCCTTGCTTTTGGACGCCGTAGGTCCTTTGACCTACGTACTAGAGGAAGCTGGGAAAGAGACTCTCACCGTACAAGCCACGGTCGAAGCATGCCAACAGGCGTTGGCTTTTATTGGCAATGCAAATATGCATTTGAATAGAGAAAGGCGGCGAAATGCCATTCTTTGTATGAATCGCGACCTTGCCGAAATGGCAGAAGATGACGATACGTTCAAAACGTCTGCACCCCAGCTGTTTGGAGATGGCTTCTCCAGAAAAGCGAAGGAACGGAGCGAAGAGCTCAAATGTTTGTCGCAGGCGGCGCCCTCGCGAGGTGGCAAGGCTTCCACCGGATCGTTTGTTCGAGGAGGCCGAGCCAACCATGCCCCACGGGGAGGCCATTCAAATCAGGGCAGTTTCAATCAGAACGGCAACCGGGTCCGACCTTACAGCGGAAACCAGTACAATCCCCAGTTCAACAGGAAGCCCAACGACAGAAGTCGTCAGGAGTCAGCAAAGTGAGCCATCCGCCTTTACCCCTTCCTCTAAAGGAAATAAAGAGTTTTCAAAACTACTCAATGTCTTCTGTTGTGAGTGCTCTCCAGCAGATGGGTGAAAAAGACATGACAGAAAGTGTCGTATTTCACCAGTTCCCGATTGCGGGAAGTGTAGCAATGCTTGCACAAGACTGGAATGCAATCAGCTCAGACCAGTGGGTCTTGAAATGTATTCGGGGTTACACAATTCAGTGGCTTCAGAAGCCCTTTCAATCTCACTCTCCAAGAGAGATAGTGTTTCGGGAGGAGGAGAAATCAAAATCTCCCTCGAAATAACTTTGATGGCGAACAAACAGGCCATTTCAGAAGTTTCAATACCCGAGCTTGGAAATGGGTGTCAGAGACCTGACACAAAGTGTCTCGACCCAATGCATGGTTGCGGGGTGTTCAGGGTTACAAAATTCACTTTGTTCAAGAACCCTTTCAAACCGTTTCCCCAAGGGAGATTGTATTTCAAGAGGAGGAAACGAAAAAGATCTCCTCAGAAGTTGTCGCAATACAAAGCAAACATGCGATTTCCGAAGTAATGCCTGCAGATCAAACGAACAATCAGTTTGTGTGTCTCAACTCTTCGCTGTCCCGAAGAAAGACAGAGCGATAAGACCGATTATCAATCTGAAAGCTCCGAACCATTTGTGGAAGTGTCCCATTTCAAAACGGAGGGTATACACATGTTGAAAGATCTGCTGAGACCAGGCGATTTCATGACGAAAGTCGACCTGAAAGATGCGCACTTCATGATTCCCATTGCCAGGGAATATTGCCGCAGACCAGCGAAAGTTGCTGCGTTTTGCATGGCAGGGAAAGATGTATCAGTTGAACTGTCTGCCGTTCGGACTATCGTCAGCCCCGCGGGTTTTTACCAAGACCTCAAGGGCGGTGATAATCACACTCAGGACTGAGGGTGATTATTCATATCGACGATATCCTGAGCATGGCGGAGAACGAGACAAACGACCACACGGCCGGTCTGATTTTCCTCCTGGAGAATCTAGGGTTCATTGTGAATTACCAGAAACCACAACCGAACTCCACCAAGGAGATAGATTTTCTCGGCTTAATACCGGTGAACTCCGAGAATCTGACGATCAGATTGCCGGGAGATAAATTTACCGTGGAGAAAACACGATCAGATGTAAAAAATTGCGAGAGGAAAAAAACACACTCAGCAATTTCTGTAACTCACCTGTTGGGCAAACTGAGCCATGCTGCACATGCGATTCCACCAGGTCCTTTGTTCTATCGAAACCTTCAGGGCTGTTTGCAGAAAGCCCTAGGGGAGGGATCTTAGAATTACGATCATCCTTGTCTCTTGAGCAGCGAAGCTCTGGAGGAATTGGACTGGTGGATCGATCACCTGACAGACTGGAACGGTCGTCGTCTTCTCACGCCGAAACCAGACCTGGTGATAGAGACGGATGCCTCGACAGTGGGCTGGGGATCATCTTGCCAGAACTCCCAAACAGGCGGTCCGTGGAGTTGTCAGGAACGAGAGATGCATATAAACTGCTTGGAGCCGTTAGCAGCCTTCCTGGCTGTAAAAGCATTTCTGAAGTCAAGTCGAAATCTTCTGGTTCACCTGAAGATGGACCGTGAACACCACAGCCTTGACGTATATCAACAAGTTCGGAGGCACTGTGTCTCCCGACCTCAATCGCCTCACCAAAGAGGTGTGGACATGGTGCATGGCAAGACAGATAACTCTCCAGGCCAAGCAGGATCACTGAACACAGTTACAGACGACGAGTCTCGAGTGATGAAAGATCGATCGGACTGGATGTTGCATGCAGATGTATTCCAGGAGATCTTTGCTCGAATGGGTCCCATGAATGTAGACCTGTTTGCCTCTCGGCTGACACATCTCCTGCCGATGTATGTGAGCCGGCGTCCCGATCCAAATGCGATAGACATGGATGCCTTCTCGTTGGACTGGACAAAGTGTCAGGGTTATGCCAACCCACCTTGGAACCTGATAAGCAGAGTAGTAGCACAGGTCTGCCCTCAGAAATCTCGGATAGTGCTTGTTGCACCGGTATGGCTGAGTCAACCGTGGTATCCAGCCCTCCTGGACCTGCTGGTAGAGGAGCCCCTGTTGCTTCCCAGCACTCCAGATCTGATTCAGCCGACGCACAGCGTAAACGAACCGGAGATAGTCCCTCGTCTAGCCGCGTGGAATATCTCAGGAGAAAGTACACCAGTCAGAATGTTTCTGAGGAAGCTTCAGAACTCCTCCTTGGATCATGGAGGCAGAGATCTACGAAGACGTACGACTCCCTATTCAAGAAATGGATGGGCTGGTGTCGTGAACGGAACAATGATCCCTTTTCAAGTGATATAGCCACGATTGTCAACTTCCTGGCATCATTGTACAAAGCTGGTTATCAATACCGCTCTATCAATATTGACAATAATTACAGATCAGCAATTCCTTCCGTCCAGGAAAAAAACTGACAGGTATGACACTGGTCAACACCCAATGGTATCTCGTGCGGGTATCGATACTAGTATCGTCAAAGCACACTCTGTGCAGAGTGTTTCTGCATCCGCAACAGCGGATGCTGGTACTACTACGAATGATATCTTGAAAGCAGCAGACTGGAGCAGCCAGTCGGTCTTTCAGAAGCTCTATTATTAGACCCCAGCATGATGAGAAATATGCTCAGGCAGTTCTCTCGAAGCTGTCAACCACTGGCAGAGAGCTACAAAATCACATTGATATGGAGACAGAGCATTCTGAAGTATAATTACAGAATGGCTCAGACCACGCAGTGGTTGCCAGCTATTCTGGATTATATGAAGAATGTGATGTCGAACATATCAATGTCCCAACCCTGACCCTCCCTGTGTTATAATGCACATAATATGCTTGTTCCGAGGCTCGCTATTCAAAAGGCCGAAGAACATAGAGGGAACAAGGGCTTTTATCAACGAAACCTGGTGTTCCACGCATGCGTTAAAACCAAGGATTCAAATAAAATCACAAAATTCATGAATTTTCACTACAAAAAAGCTATCAAGAGTTAGGAAACTAGGCCAAACACAGTGATATGTTCGACATCACATTCTTCATATAATCCAGAATAGCTGGCAACCACTGCGTGGTCTGAGCCATTCTGTAATTGTCTCTGTGGATAGTGAATACATGACAAGTAGAAGAGTAATTGTCTCTGCGGATAGTGAATACATGACAAGTAGAAGAGTCATTGTCTCTGTGGATAGTGAATACATGACAAGTAGAAGAGTCATTGTCTCTGTGGATAGTGAATACATGACAAGTAGAAGAGTAATTGTCTCTGTGGATAGTGAATACATGACAAGTAGAAGAGTCATTGTCTCTGTGGATAGTGAATACATGACAAGTAGAAGAGTCATTGTCTCTGTGGATAGTGAATACATGACAAGTAGAAGAGTAATTGTCTCTGTGGATAGTGAATACATGACAAGTAGAAGAGTCATTGTCTCTGTGGATAGTGAATACATGACAAGTAGAAGAGTCATTGTCTCTGTGGATAGTGAATACATGACAAGTAGAAGAGTCATTGTCTCTGTGGATAGTGAATACATGACAAGTAGAAGAGTAATTGTCTCTGTGGATAGTGAATACATGACAAGTAGAAGAGTCATTGTCTCTGTGGATAGTGAATACATGACAAGTAGAAGAGTAATTGTCTCTGTGGATAGTGAATACATGACAAGTAGAAGAGTCATTGTCTCTGTGGATAGTGAATACATGACAAGTAGAAGAGTCATTGTCTCTGTGGATAGTGAATACATGACAAGTAGAAGAGTAATTGTCTCTGTGGATAGTGAATACATGACAAGTAGAAGAGTCATTGTCTCTGTGGATAGTGAATACATGACAAGTAGAAGAGTAATTGTCTCTGTGGATAGTGAATACATGACAAGTAGAAGAGTAATTGTCTCTGTGGATAGTGAATACATGACAAGTAGAAGAGTAATTGTCTCTGTGGATAGTGAATACATGACAAGTAGAAGAGTAATTGTCTCTGTGGATAGTGAATACATGACAAGTAGAAGAGTCATTGTCTCTGTGGATAGTGAATACATGACAAGTAGAAGAGTCATTGTCTCTGTGGATAGTGAATACATGACAAGTAGAAGAGTAATTGTCTCTGTGGATAGTGAATACATGACAAGTAGAAGAGTCATTGTCTCTGTGGATAGTGAATACATGACAAGTTAGGAATTTGTTTTATGCTAACCTTTTATGAAATCAGTTTACAATTTATACCCATTCCTAGAATCAAATTTATACCCATTCCTATAATCAAATATTTCTGCACGGAGATATGGATAGTTTTTATATGCTGTTTTCTGTTCTTTCCTGTTGAACGTATCAGGCCATGCTGAGCGCCAAGCTGCTCATGAAACCTGTTGTATTGTCCTACCCACTTCACCACTGTAAGTTCTACGCATGCATTACTCAACAATGAAGTATAGAACCGTTGAATCAGTCCTAGGTAACATTCATTGAAATGTACTGCACCATTTCAAACATAATGAGTCAGGCCGGCCCAGTGAGTGAGATCTCAGACCATGAATGTGCAATGACAGATGTATGTATCATGATCAAGTCCTGACTTGAAGAGGATTGCTTCAATTGTGCTGTACACCACAATGAGTTGGGAACACGAGGTGTGGAAAACAGGGCAACATTGATGCAGAAAGTGGGTTTTCACCTTTGCCCATAAACTGTAATTGGTGAATCTGAGTTTTTCTCTCCATCCGTAAAGAAGCGGCATCTGACGACTTTTCATGTTGTCTTTTCATGTGGTCTTTTCATGTGGTCTTTTCATGTTGTCTTTTCATGTAGCCTTTTCATGTGGTCTTTTCATGTGGCGGCGTCATCCCTAGAAACCAGAAAGGTCTTGAGCTGTGTAGTTCCCAGATCCTTTTAAAACACATTTCCCTATTTTGAGGTTCATCAGAAGAAAGTAAAGATCGCAGACGCGCAACACAACCGTTTATAGAACTGTATTGAGAAACACAACCAGTTTAGGAAGTTTCGCTTGTACAAGGCCACCACCGTGCCTGAGATACCAGGGTGACAGATGCAGTGCGTGACAGCGAAGGTGACTTAGTAAGTATCACAAGCAATGCCGGACAAGGTGAAAACCTCGTTAGCTGCCTCTATGTTACCCTCACTTCAAATACAGTAAGTGCTCACCCCGACCATACAAAATTCGAAAAGCGTCGACTACCATTTTGAAAACATGGCGATGCCGCCGAGGCCAGAGTGTGTGCAGTCATAGCGGCGTGTGGGAAGGAGTGCAGGAAGGAGTGTGATCAGGCATGTGAGCCGAGACGTGCGGGGAGGAGTATGGGCAAGAGTGCGAGCATGATTGTGTTCAGGAATGTTGGCAGGAGTGTGGGCAGGAATGCACACAGGAGTGCAGCCAGGAATGTTGGCATCTATATGTGTGCGCATGTATGGATTTTCATGTCATCAACTGGTGAGTATATTGCATGTTTGTTCATTTTCAATGTGTGTGTACAGTAAAACCTGGTTTAAGTGACCTCTCGTTTTAACCACTACCTGATCTTAACGACCGTTTTTCCATGCACAGACAGTTCTACACAGAGAGTGTGGGACCTGGTTCTTAAGACCACCTGGCTTTAATGACCGCTTTTCCTTGCACCGTGTCATGGTCGCATAAACCAGGTTTTACTGTATGTGTGTGTGTGTGTGTATGTGTGTGTATATGTGTGTATGTGTGTGTGTATATGTCTGTATGTGTGTGTGTATATGTGTGTTTGTGTGTGTGTGTGTGTGTGTATTCAGCCATGCCATGCGGTCAACAGACGAACGCATTGCAAACCTGCATGAGGAGGATGAAGCGGAGCTCTCTGAACAAACAGGTGCGTGATTAGTTTTAACATAAGACTTCTCCCTTTATTCTGTTCTCATCTATCTGCGCTCAACTGCTCTTCAATGTGTGTGCTGTTACTATTGTTGTCTTGGTCTGTCTGTATGCTATCTACATAAGGAAAAATACATACCTTCTTGCTCTACATACACTGGCTTATACTTCATTCCATATTCGCCCTCCTGCTATTGTCCATCTCCATAAGTGGTGGAAATTGCAAGATATTCACCACTTATATTCACCAATTTTCAACACGTACTGTAAAGAGAGCAGTACACGGTGCTGAGCTTAATTTCACTTCAGTCAGTACACCAGAGCTGGCGGGTGTTGTAGAAAGGTTCTACGCTAACTTCCGTAAACAGGACTTTTCTGAGTACAAACGAAATTCCTTGCTTGCCACTGGGCGCTGAATCCGCATGTGACCAGGTGCTGACAAGTTACTGGTATCAGCCAACAGTGAGCATCTTCACAGACTGAGCGTTCAACAAGCAAACAAGGTTTTGGACGCTCAATATGTCGATGGAAATCGGATCGAGGGGCAAACAAGGAATTTCATTTGTACTCAGGAATATTTTGTTTATGGACGTTGGCGTAGAACTTTTCTAGGGCATACAAAAGCTCCGGAGCGCTGCCTGAAAAGAAAATACGGGAGGGCAGACTCGCTTGGATCGTGTCTGTGAAACTACTCCTGAATTGGTGTGATGCTCATGGATTCGTCAAATCTTCGCATCGAAACGGACGATGATTGGCTCGAGCGTGTTCTCCAAGGTGATTGGCTCGAGGGTGTTCTCCAAGGTCATCGCTTCTCGTGCCACATGCACCAGTACGTGTACACGAGCTGTCCTAAAAACAACTTGAACAAGATTCTGTCAAGAACAGGTCGCTCTACGATTCATGCAAGAACATGCCAGTCGGTAGTGAAGTAACAAGGACTTACGTTAGTTCTGCGTACATGTACATGTATGACCAACGTGACTCGTTTGTTGAGCTGTAGGGATGATAGGGTGAATATGGAGAGGCATAAGTCTATTAAAACAAACGGCGAGGAGACAATAATTTGATAACCGCAATCAATAAGACAAGCTGATTCGACATTTGTGTACACTTTATTCATACAATGTGAAACGGTGGAGACAATGTACAATAAAACGATAAAAATATGAAGAAATTGTGTAGAGAAAACAAGGATTCAAACAAGTTTTCGTGCAACACTCATCAGCAATCTTCGTTGTAATAAAGGACACTGAAACAAAATGGAACTATCAAAGAAAATCTCAGTTAGAGAAACAACACTAAGAAAAACAGCAGTGAAATTTACAAGTGTGAATTTTAACAATGAAAGCGAGAGCAAAAACGAGCGAGAGCAAAACCTGTATCTTCTTGTCTTGAAATGTGCTTGAGAAAAGAAAAGCATTGCAAGCACCGTGAATACAAATTCCGAGCCAGGTACCTACATATAGGTGTACTTGGTCCGACTTATTAAAATGTGCGCTTCACTTCAAAACTCAAGCATATGTACAAACGTGCACCTGTACTGAAAAATCAACCAAGAGACGGTAGATAGATAACTACTGTGTCGTTTCTTGGCCTTTCATCGCTGCTGTTGTCTCAGGGCGCATCTGCAAGTGCGTCAACCTGCAAAACGTCGACATTGTTTTCATCTCCTCCAAGCTACACTGCGCTTCTTTGATTTTTCACTCCATAGGCACGATTTACACGATCGACTTCGCCTCCTCCTCGTGCAGTACGACTACCAAAATGGTGGCTGTAGATGTTTTCGCCTGAAGCTCCCACGACACCTTCAAATGAGGTGAACAAGTAAACCACCACGCATAAAAAATCACTTCTGACCCCCGTGTACTGCGCGCATACTGAGTCTGAGCTGTGTCGACATGTCATGCAGTCGGACCATGCCTGCTCTTCCCTGCCTGTTTCACGAATCAACTGCACTGGCCCCGGAGACTGGCGATCTTGTGACGCATCGCGATCGCGGCTCCGCGCGCGGATCCGAGGACTCCGCACCGTATCCGCCGGATAATTCCCCCTTTCTGCGCTTCAGTTTTCCAGCCAGGTTGTCGTCTGAAAGTCGACCTCAAGGCCGGTTATTTATTTCGATCAACTTATCGACGATCTCTTTTTTTGGTACTCCGTGACAATCCCCCATCGCAGCGGGGTGTTGATTTCAGCACCAGGCCTTCTCTGTGTTGCGCGAGAAACAACAGGAGTCCTCTGTCGACAAATTTGGACGCAAAATGCTCGAGTCGACTAGGATCCTGAGCCGCTGCCTCCGTTGGAGTTGGAGCCATTTCTTCTTCGACATCACAAATTGACAACTGAAGGATAGTGTTAGGTAGCTGGAAAGTTTTTTAAGTCCTGAGATTATTTGAATTTGTTTGGTTGACGTTTGAAGTGAAACGCACATTTTATTAAGTCGGACCAAGTAGGAGTATTGAAGCAATCTCGTTATTGTCAGCTGTAAAAACTGTGGCGTCATTCATAGCAAAGTCAATCAGAGTGTTGTGGCAGCATGCATTAGGAGGCGAATGCACAACTTAAAAACTTGATGTCGAGAAGGTCGCGTTCAACCGATAAAAAATGTCAAGAACAGTATTAGTAAGGCAGACGTTACGAAACAAAAAGAAGAGAATAATATGATGAATCTAAACGCAAAATTTCCTAATCCATTTTCATGACACACTCATCAGGGAAAGCTATTATCTCCTCGTCGCTGGAAGAGTTTCTAAGGGTGTTTGATAATTTGACATTACAGGCACTTTGTCTGCAGAACGTTTATACCGCCTTTGCTGCTTTGGCAGAAACAGCACCTGATCAGATTGTACATTGGCCTCAACAATATATGGTCACGTTCTTTTCTGCTTTTCAGAGACGTTCTTGAAGAACCCATTCAAGCATGCCATCTTCATTGATGATATCCACATCTGGCTGCAATCACTAGGTGCTGCTGGCCTACGTCACAAAGCTCAGAGTCATGGCTTCTTTACGGATCTTGCTCAGATCAACAGGCTTATGATCACGGAGAAGTACCACGGTGGCGAAGCCCACAACTGTGAGCTGCTGGATATAATCATGGCACAGGAGCGTGATGGCTACATCAAGCTGTGCAAGATCGTCAAGGGTTATGGACAGTACACAACACGGCTTGAGCAGATGAACAGTTTGCTGAAGAAGAGTGATCGAGTCTAATCAGGTCAGTGATCAGCATACTATTATGATTACATCACCACTGCCGGTTGCCATGACAACTGCTTGAAAATTGTTTGGCTGCTTGAAGGCCCTCCCATACCATGCAGCGCAGTGATAGCTTCCGCTTGATTGATGTAACACCAGTGCGTAGATCTACTGCACCTCACTTCCTAAGTCCTAAGGGCTTGCACCAGTCTTTTCGGCGGCTTTCCTGAAAGTCCTTTGCACGAGCATTTCCCTCAGGACTTGGTGTATATTTTGATTAGCTCCTTTTCCCAGTCCTCTGTGAGCTTCAAAGTGTGTCCGCCGGATTGGTGTCATCTTCTGGAGATGTCTACATGAGCTGTAGTTTCTTCGTCAGCGATTTGCTGGTGATAACTTTTCACTTGGGCGCTGTACTGTCCGAGCACTGAAATTCAAGCTCGTGAAGCACTTTTCCAGCTTTTCTAAAACTCCCCGCAGTCAACCATTCTCGCCACCAGACAGCTGGAAGTAACCAGAAACTGTCATGTCGTCGGAAGCAATGCTCAATGGTTATGTTAGGATGGTGAATCGGTGCTTCCATGTCGTATAACACAGGCATAACACCGAAAAATCAACTTATTATCAAGTGCGAAGGTATGCGCCAATTTTAACTAGACGGACCAAGTATGCACTGACGTGTGTTCAGTGCATGTGTGTGCGTGCGTGCGTGTGTGCGTGCGTGTGTGAGTGCGCGTGTGCGTGCGTGGTGTGTGTATGTGCGTGCCTGGTGTGTGCATGTGTGTGTGTGTATGTGAGTGTGTGCGTGTGTGCGTGTGCGTGCGTGTGTGTGTGTGTGCGTGTGTGTGCACGTGTGTGCACTTGTGTTTTGTTGTTATTGTCTTCGTCGTTGGTGTTGATGATGGTGATGGTGTCACTGCCATCATCACCAACCATGTACTGAAGGAGTACACCGCATATTCGGGAGCAGTGTGGCCATTTCTGGCTGCTGTGAACGAGAGAGCTTGGAAGCTCAGGGCCCTACGCTATGCTTTTTTGCCTTGATGACCTAGACAAAAAAAGCAAAGGGATGTTATAAATTCTTATAAATTTCTCCTTTTTTTAAAAGACATTACCTGGGATTAGAACCCGCACTATCGCCCTGCATGTATCCCCGGTGCACTTTGCATACATACTAATTCTTCCAAGTTGCTTCACGTTATGATCTTGCATTTGAAAGCCCTATTTGAATATGCATTGTGCATGTGGCCAGCCGTCTCTGATGGTACGGGACAGGTACGGGACAGGTACGGGACAGGTACGGGACAGGTACGGGACAGGTACGGGACAGGTACGATCGAGTGTAATACGGCCCCTTCTACCGCCTTGATGACCTAGGCAAAAAACAGCTTAGGGATGTTATAAATTCATACTCATTCTTCCAAGTTGCTTCACGTTATAATCTTGCGTTTGAAAGCCCTATTTGAATATTGCGGCCAGCTGTATGTGGCCACCTGTGTTGGATGTTGCGGTACGGTACAGGACAGATACTTGATAGCGCCAGGCGTGACACAAACAAACAAACAAACAAATACCAAATTTAAGCTGTGTGGACCCTGGCTAGCGCCAGACGCTACTGAAGTAACGTCGTCTGCATAGCTACGGGAATAATTATAGTGGTGTGTGTGTGTGTGTGTGTGTGTGTGTGCGTGCGTGTGTGTGTGTGTGTGTGTGTAAGCATTTGGAAGTTGAACTAGTTTCGGCTCCACAATCCAGTGTGTCCTTACTATATCTTTCATGACTGAGGTTGTTGGTATGTCTGTTGGCTCTGGGTTCCCAGTACTCAGTAGCCGAGGCTGGTTGGTAAAGTAACTCCAATTTCACTTCAAGGTACCGGTGCATCTAGTGTCTGCTTCTATCAAAGCAGCGTGCTGTATATACTGGTTACCCCAGCAAGTGTAGGGTGTGCATAGGTAACTGTCTTTGCCGTTTTATGCCGATGTACTCTGTGTGGTGTAGACCAGGTGTGCATTGGTGGTCGATTCACATGGCTTCGCAAGTTTTGTGGATTAGAGAGTTATCTGGCGCAAGTCTTGATCTGTCTCATTCAGATTTTGTTCGCTATCGTTGCTATAAGAGAAAATCTGTGGGTGCACGTCCAGTGCATTTGCATATTTTCGTGCTTCTCTTGTGACGGGCGTATACATGGTACATGGGACACGGTGTGTGTGCGCACGTGTGTGTGTGTGTGTGTGTGTGTGTGTGTACATGTATTTGTGTAGACGTGTGTATAAATGGTGTGTACATCATGTGTATGTGTTTGTTTGTCACATACAGGTTACATGTGTCTACACTCTCCAACCAGGTCATCGTTGCCATGGTCACTGAGGCCAGAGTCGGAACAGTGTCTGATGTTTTCCATTATCAATCAGTAGTCATGCTGGCTAGAAATTGGCCATTGTGGCAATTTGTTGTTTACTACTTCATTTGCATATGCCATGCATATATGCATACAAATCCTTCACTTGTTTGCCTCAGTATTGAAGAGCACTATGGATTTTTGTTTGTGTTCACTATGGCCTTCACTCGTCTTTTTGTTTTATGAATGTATGTATGTGTGTGAGTGTTCGTGTGTGTAGTATGTGTGTGTTTGTGTTTGTGTGTGTGTGTGTGTGTGTGTGTGTGTGTGTGTGTGTGTGTGTGTGTGTGTGTGTGTGTGAGTGTGTGTGTGTGTGTGTGTGTGTGTGTGTGTGTGTGTGTGTGTGTGTGTGTGTGTGTGTGTGTGTGTGTGTTGTGTGTGTGTGTGTGTGTGTGTGTGTGTGTGTGTGTGTGTGTGTGTGTGTGTGTGTGCTCTTCTTCGTCATCAATGTTGTCCATGTGTGGTTTTGCCCTGGAGTTCCCGTTCGGTTTGCTTTTAGTACTACAACGGAACAGAATACACTGTCATGGTTGTTTGCATGTTGAACAGTTCGACTTGTTTTTATCCATCATTTCTGATCACAACATGCTTTGTGCATTTCACTGCAGCTTCACTTGCTAGTCTTCGTCATTACCTCATGGAAATATGTATGTGTGCGTGTGTGCATTGCGATGTCACTTGTTTTTTTACTTTTATTTTTTACATGACACAATTATCATGTTTGTGAACTACAGCACTGCAGTGTCGCTTGTTATTTTTCTCATCACTAAAGCACAGAATTTGTTTGTGTAACTCACAGTTTCCCTCTTTTTTACCCATCATTCCAGACCCCAGTGAGCTTTTTGTCATTGTTATTCCCTTGCTAGCCTACATCACTACCGACCTGCAATATGATTGCATGGGTTTGTGTGCAGTGATGTCTTCATTTGTTTTCTGTGGCAGTTACACAACATGTGTTTGTGTACACTGCTGTTTCGCTTGTATCATTTCTTATCACTACAGCACAGAATACGTGTGTGGGTGGGTGTGTGGACTGATCATGCACTTCATTACTTTTATCCATGATGTGAGATCACAGTGTGGTCTTTGTGCCGCTCATCACTGTTTTCATTGCTGTTTTCGTTGCTTTTTCATTGCCAGCTGTTTTCGTTGCTGTTGTGTTGCCAGCTGTTTTCGCTGCCGTTGCCTTTCGCTTGCTATTCTACATGGTTGGAGTCGGCAATGTATTTTCATGCTCTGCTGTTTTCTTACTTTGTTTTCTGTGGCTGTAAGGAACACACTTTGTCGGAACATCAATTTGCTTTGCAGGCCTTCTTTTTTAATTACAGCACAGAATGTGTGTGTGTGTGTCTGCACTGATCTTGCACTTGTTTTCCTTATCATTGCACAACATGATGCGTTTACACTTTGCCAAGGTTTACACCATGTACCACTGCTGCAATTGCCTTGCCGGATCATTACGTCATTACGTCATTACGTCATTACGGTACACAACTTGTTAGTGTACGGTGCACTGCACTTTCTCTATTTTCATCATCATTATTCGGAAGTCTTGTTTTTGTTATCCATACGGAGACCCGACCTTCACAGTGTGCCTGTGTGCTGTCTGCTGCTCAATGTGTTGTGCTGGAGGTACTTAGGTGTTGCACTGCACCATGCATTTTACACACTACACACTACAGTACATGTGTACTTAGGTGTTGCACTGCACCATGCATTTTACACACTACACAGTACAGTACATGACTGTGTACTTAGGTGTTGCACTGCACCATGCATTTTACACACTACACAGTACAGTACATGACTGTGTACTTAGGTGTTGCACTGCACCATGCATTTTACACACTACACACTACAGTACATGTGTACTTAGGTGTTGCACTGCACCATGCATTTTACGCACTACACAGTACAGTACATGTGTACTTAGGTGTTGCACTGCACCATGCATTTTACACACTACACAGTACAGTACATGTGTACTTAGGTGTTGCACTGCACCATGCATTTTACACACTACACAGTACAGTTTGGCACAGAAATAACTACTTGCCGTCATTGCTTGTGGCTCAATGTAGCTGAACCATCGGACCTTATTTGTCAGCTTGGATCACGTGATCCATCCAGCTGCCGCGTGCGGCAAACAGCCCAAATAGCGCTAACTCTGGCCTGCGAGCGTTTGCTGCGACTAGCGCGCTAGCGCTCGTGACATACACAAACGCGCTAGCCAGAATGCTTTGACTTTGATGGCTTTCAGCTTCTATTTTTTGAAAAGTAGCGCGCTCAGACCAGCTCGCTCACTCTTTTCCTCTTCCATTTTTTAGGGCAATTGTTTTGTTTGATAGACGAAGCTTAGGGTCTCTTTGGGTTTGCAACCCTTACCCTCCTGGAAAAAATCATAGTTGTGCTAGACTGCGACACTTCAGACCAGGTACTATTAGAGCCGCTAATGGACGACGAGCTATTTTCCGCTATCCGGAGCTCAAGCATTTGAGCCGCTAAATGGACGAGACTCCTGGGGTAAAGGATGCAGAGAATGAGGAGAAAACACTCGTATGGAGCAGGGAGTAGGTATTGTACTACTTCCTGGTATGGAGCACTGAGAAGCGGTAAGTCTTAGGGCAATTCTTAGCCAGTAATTACTTTCTCGCCATAATTATGTTCTCGTTTTTCGTGTCTTCTGTAATGCCAGTACACTAGCAGTACGACTACACTGTAGGCGAGAGTCCATAAGCCAGAGTGTGCAGCTCTCCATCTATGCAGCATAAACAAATTAATGACAAATTTCCTTTGCCTAAGGGCTGGGTTCCACTGCCGCTCCGCCGCACATCATCCACGGCATGAAACGTCATCATTACGAGCTGGTCCAGCGAGGCCGCGGCTCATCACCAGCTTTCGCTTCGCTGCTTGATACAAAAAAATGCAAGCCGCGGTCACGGCTTGCATTGTTTCCCGCACTTAATTGTTTTATTCGGGGGAATTTTAATTCGTTGCACAGGCCAGAACACGAGGATTTTTTTTGGATTTCACGCGCGCGCAGGCAGGCTAAATGTCATAAAAAAAACGTCGAGCACGATCGCGGTACCGTGAAGTGAATGGCGAGTGTCACTGGAACCGCGCCGCTCTGCTGCATGCAGCCAAGTACCGTGGAGCAGCGGAGCTGCGGAGCCGCAGTGGAACCCGGCCCTAACCAAACTTATAGCAATTTGAAAATGTTTGACAATTTTTCATAAAAAAACTTGACAACATTGTTCTTCTGTAGAGTGCCGCTGGCAACTCCATCGATGAACTCCATCAATGAGCGCAGGGATAAAGTTTAGAAACCCTTCGAGCGAGAACGTGTTTTCAAAAAGGAAGCACAAATATGCCGCGTAACTTCCCCTCTAGTACTGTATGGCCCCATCAAAGCCACTCGCTGACTACTTACCAGTAAAATGGGGTTGGACGGTTGTCAGATTAGCTGACATGTTTTCTGCCAACACAACCATAAGCAGTTGTCAACTCTCAAGACTAAAAGAGCTTGCGAAGAAAGTGAGAAACCTTGGCTATGAAAGCACATGAAGCGTCAGAACATAATCGAGCAAACTTGGACCTAGATTACCAGTGTCTGCTCCAGAGCCGGGTCAGTGGCCCTGTTTGTGAGTACTTGGACCTTTTGGAAAAAGAACACTGGGTTACCTGCGACCCGGTCGGAAGTCCTGTCGAGTACTATACTTTTTTATACCGTTCGAGGGTATACCGCCACTGACAGGCTGCATACGCGTGCGGCCAGAGTGCCCAGTGCGAGTACGTTCATACATGTACATGTACAATCATGTACATCAGGAAGTCGAAAGTAAGTTTACGACTCCCTGACACACAGTAGCCGCACTTGAACGCATCTGGCTCTGGCCCAGTGTTGCAGGAATTGTGCCAGGTAGACGTGTACCCGGTTTGTGTTAAATCTTAGAGCAGGTACTGCATACCCTATCATATCTGTGTACATGGGTAGACAGAGTCAGTGTTGTTGCGTCCCACTCAGCACCCTTCTGGTTCATTTCGGCACCAGCACTCTTTGCGTATGCAGAGTTGAGTAGAGTGCAAGTTCGGACCACAAGTACACTGCAGCGGCTAGTAGCAAACCTAACCTGTGCCGTGATGCCCGGCACGTGTGTGCATCTACTTCATCCCTGAGTAACACACCTGGTATATTGTGCACAATAGGGCACAGTAAATAATCAGCATGCATCGCAGTTTTCTGCAACATATTCCTGAAGTCACTTTACACCTCAGAAGAATTGCGTCGCTGACTGTAATTCGATACCGGTTTAGTTTCTCTCTGGGTCATTATCAATCATAGAAAACCCGTCATACAATAGGTTCAAGCTAAAGTACCGTATCACCATGGTAATTCCTGGAAATTCGGTGTGTTTTCTGCCTTTTGTTAAACAAGCAGCAATGTGCAACAGAAATTACCATGGTGATACAGTAGATTACCGTGTGAAGCGGTGTGAGATGCAGCAAAGGTGAGCTTGTTACTGTGAGTCTATGCCCTAAACAATAAACTTTGCCGTGGGATGATTATCCTTGGGCTGCACACTCTGCACACTTATTGCTAGGTATATCATTGGTCTTGTTCGAATCGTCCATTACGTTTGCAGCTGTTCAAACTTGTTTTGTTGTTTATTATTTTATTGATTTATTTATTCTACTTGCCTTTCCTATCTTCTTGTGTTTAGCATTAGGCGATTTGATCGCAGGACAAGAGAGGAGCTGATGGACGATCTCTCCAGTGTCCCTCTTGGTTCGGAGCAGCGCCGAGTGCTGACGTTGGGACTTGGGTAAGGATGAGTGTTCCCTCATGTTTACAAGTTATCCGTTTTGTCCAACACTAACGGTTATATGCAGAATACTGCTGAGTCAAAAATGTGCAACAATTAGCACAAAAACTGACTGATGAGATCATGACATTCAACGACCTGATGCTTAGCTGCATCACGTTTACATCCGTTAGTGTTGGACAAAACGGATAACTCGTAAACTGATGGTCCTCTTTTTCAATTTTAATCCTTGGCTCTCCATCCGAGTTCCCTCGTGTGTGTAGCTATTATTATTTTTTTGGTGACAGTCAATTTTTTCTTCAGACTTTTCCCGTTTGTGTCTTTCCCTCAAACTAGTCAATATTTTTATTTACTTATTTTTTTGCCCAGGGTCTACATTCTACCTTTATTTTACTTAGACTAGGGTTAGCTGTCCGTTTACTAGTACTCATCCACACATATGTGCACATAGGGTCTACACAGAACTCTATCAGTAGATATTTTTGTATAGGAGGTTGTCTATCCACCGAGATAGCACTATATACTCCCATTCTGTGTGTTCTCTGGTAGCTATGTCCCTTGGAGACTATACGGTGCCAGTGTGGTGACCGAGATCAGGCGTGTCTGCACTGGCATCGTCAACTTTGCCTACTGCTACGTGCTCCCCAGTGCTCCATCTGTGTCCTGTAATTTGTTTGGGGAGGGGGGGGCAATACCGGTACTTCAGGTGCAGGGGGCAAGGGGGGAATGGGGTGGGGGGACATGCCCCCAATGAACCTCTCCAGGCGTTGTTCTGGAGTAGACTAACCATAGGCGGAGTGTACACATGCAGCACATAGTTTGGGAGCTAGAACGCAATCGGACTCAGGCATATTCAAAGGCAGTCTATTGTGATAGTAGTCCTGGACTGATCTCACTATGATGATATAGGTCGTGCCCAGCATCACAATGCCAAACATTATAAATGACTGTTTTTTTTTTGCCTGAGGGGCTAGATGAGCATGCGGCTAGACTGCCGATGGCAACCAACAGGCTCAAGGCTGTGTTGAGACTTCGTGTGAGCGACCCGAGTCAATTGTTTACTCACCATGACTAGGCATCGCATTGAGCATCGTATGCCCACTAATATAATATGAGCCCCAGCCAGCAGAAACCTGAACATGTGTAATTTTTTCCAAAAACATTTTTTCGCTCGAAATTGATTCTACACTAATAATCATTCAAGTTATCAAGTTTGGTGACAATCTGATAAGCCAAAGCTTGGAAAATAGAGTTTGAAGTCACACAGGTCAAAATTCGGTACAGTTGGCGCAGCATCCATGCCCAGTGACTCCATGCAAGTTGATCCTACAGTTTCTGATTGTGATGTGGAACAGGTACATGTAAGTAAATAGAATGCAAGTCAGGCTTGCCCTCTTGGTGCTGCAGGCATGAGTAGTTCAGAAGTGTGACGATATTCCGTATACACCGCTACCTTCTTTACAACACCAGAGTGCAAAACGATGATTGGTGGCTGGTCTTCCAAATTGTGTTCAGGGACCTCTGTGCTGGCAGTTTGAGCGTTGTCCCAAAGCTTGCCATACTGATAGATGTACTGACCAATACCAATGACATCCACTCCCTTGCACACTTTCACTAAGACCATGATTTCAGCATAATTGTATTTCGATGATATGAGCGAATACTCGCGTTTTGTAGCACGTGAAGATGTTGCCCCAAAGCATTCAGCCGGTTTGACTTTTTAGGAATCCCCTTTCTCAGCACAGGCAGCAGCCAGCTTGGCGTCGTCTGGCAAGGTAGAGTACTGTACTAATAATACTACGCTCTGTTTTGCGCCGTGAGAAGCCCTCCATCAGTGTCTGCAACATCATTGTTGTCGATGTAGAAATACGGATCGCTCAGCGGGTCGACATTCAGCTTCTCGCAGTCGCTATTACTCCAGCACTGACTATCGTCGCCACCAGTATCCAGTGTCGATTTTATGAGGGCTCTTCGTTGCTATGAATATGAGACTCGCCACTGCTGGACAAACTCAGCGAGATCGCCACCAAAGAAATAATTCCGATCGCGAACTAACTTTCAGCGCCGCTTCGTACAGGGAGTCTCACGCTGACAACTCTGGACCTAAGTCCTTGTCGCGACACCTGTCGCCATCGCTGTGTCTAAACTCAATCTCCGTTTGACGAGCTCTCACCTAGCACTAAAATCTATTGACCAGACTCATTTGAAGAAACTTGAAACTCCTTTGACAACCAAGACACCCACTCGATCGAAAAAGAATCTTCAAAAGCAAGCTCACTGCGCGTCCCAAACTTTGACGTCACATTTTGATGATTGATATCAAGTACACAAGTGCTGGTTTTCGCTGGCCGGGGCTCATATATTATGTCACTGTTCTTAGTCGCACCGGGGGCGCATGCCCGTTTTCAGGAGACTTCTCAAAACACATAAGCCCTGGGTCCTGAAGGTTAGGCCTATTGTTAATCTAAATAGTCCTGGCTACTATCCCGCTGAGTTCACTGACTTTCTACTGAACCCGTATGTATGTGAGGAAAGTACTGTTCTGACCTCAACTGCGGATTTCATCAACTTGGTAGAAGGTTTGCCTGTGCGGGACGATCATTTATAATTGAGCATAGATGTGACCAGCCTTTACTACACCAACATCCCCAACGAGCTCGGTTGTCGTGGTATATCACACACAGGTGTACAAGGTGGATGCCCCTCGCCCTTCGTACATGGTTATTAACAGCAGTGACTTCCTTGATGTCAGTCATTCGGAAGAAAAATGAGTTCGTGTATGGTAACGATGTGTTTCGGCAGATCCAAGGGACTGCCATGGGTTCGCCTGCAGCAGTGGTCTATGCCGACATTGTTATGCTGTATTTGGAGAAGCAGTACGTTTTGCCGATCTTAGAGGGGGAGGGTTTAGAGGTTCAGGTTTATAGACGCTTTATCATTGCATGGTTGCGAAGGTCAAGCTCAGCGCACTTTAGATAGGATTAATAAGTGTTCGGCCCTCAAGTTTTCTCATGAACTGGCACATGATGGCATTGATTTCCTGGACACCACAGTTTTCCGTAGTAAGGGATACATGGCGGTGAAGCCTCATTTCAAGTTCGCCAATCGTTTCCTGTATCTGCTTGTCGGTAGTAACCACCCCTGTAGTATGGGCAAAGGTGTGTTCACTGGGGAGTTGATCCGTATCCGTCGGTCTTCGACCCTTGACCACCACTACGAAGCTGCTGCCGAGCGGCCGAAGCAGGCTTTCCGGGCCCGTGTATACAAGCGCCCCATCTTTCATCTTTCAGACCCGTACACTAGGAATGGATGCGCAGGGAAGGTATGTTGGTCAAATTGGCATGGGTTTGGGTTTTTTCTGTAGTTGTATACAGTGCTCCTCATTGTATTTACCTGGGCCCGGCCTGCTGTCCTTCGCCCGTTGGTCTTGAGGTCCAGGTGTAATACCCCTACCATACAGTCCGGTGGCCAGCGCGGTTGTTGTTACACGGTGGAACATCGGCAAGAGGTTGCTTGCTCGTTTGCCTCATGCTCAGTGTCCTCAGGGAGTTAGTATTTTCCTCCTGTTTGGATTTTGCAGTGACTATGGTGTCGGTAATTGAGTTTTTGTTCTGTATGCTTTTCTGTGGTGTGTGGCTGTTGTTCACACATCTTTATTTGACTTGCTTCCTGGTGTGGTGTACCTTTTTGTTTTATATTGGTGTTGGTCTGGCTGTAGAGTTCTAGCATCCGTAGCTGCCTCAGGGGGTGCCACTTCTCCCATCAGCGTCGACTAGTCCGCCGGTACGTGGTGCTATATTACGTTTAGTTGTCTGTTCCATCCTGTACGGGCTGTGTCCTGCTGACCACACAGTCTGGGTCTCCATACTTTGCATGTTCTCATCGTGTGTAGTGTTCACACGTACATATATGGACTGTCACACCCATATGTTGTACATGTGGCTGCACGTGTTGTCTCTTTGTCGTACCTGCTGCTGTATTTGTGTTTCTATGATGCTGACCCGTACATGCTGCTGCGCTGCTTTGTTGTATTGGTGACACGTGCACCTTTTTGTGCTGATATGATATCGAGTACGCCACTTTTTGTGCTGATGAGGGCACCACCTTCCGATATCATGTTTCCTTTCGCCATGTCAGTTGTCAGTTCTCCCGTCGTCTCCTGAAGTGTAGTAATGAATAGCTCTCTCTCTAGCTCTAGAGAAAAACCACTTGACTAGTCCGTTTGATGTGTGGCGTGGCGAGGGTATAGTAGAGGCAGCTCGTTCTCCAACCGAGACGACATTTGGCGCCCAACGTGGGGCTCAAACCCACGACCCTGAGATTAAGAGTTTCATGCTCTACCGACACATATATGCACGCGGCACCGTTTGTGCTCCTATCCATTTACATATGCTGTTTTCCACACCTGTGCTGACAGTCGGTACGCACCGACTCTGTACGCATGCACGCACACCATTACATTCTGTTGGCATCATATTAGTGAGGTTTTGCATTCCAAAATTCGGCAAAAGATTCGGCACGCGGGAGCGAGGTCGAAAATGCACACGAAGATGCGGCATGTTTGTTCGGAAAAAGCTCACTTTGCCGAACATATTTTTCGGATGAATTTTCTTGTGGAAGAGCGCTAGCGCGTGATTTATTCAAAGAGGTTTCTTATCTTGGCATGGCTTCGCAGGCGTCTTTGACGACATCAGCATCGTCAGCTACCTCTGATTGCTCCTCTCCACTGCCTGTCTACTCTCTTTCGCCTGGAGTGTCCTCACCGTCATCTGTGTGGCTGAAAAGACTATGGCGATACCCATAAAATTTGACTTGGCCATGGAGTTGGTTTTTCTGAGGCGACTGAGGAGGCAGGTTTGGCCCTCGACTCTTTGGGCGCGATCAAAGTTTGTCGGAATCAGCAAGAAAAGGAGCACGGGACAGGACATTGCTGATGCTGGGGCTCACGAAATCGAAACACATCATTTTCGACTTGCAAAACAAACGTCGGTGCGAAAATTCGACATTTTGATGTTCGACAAATTACCAAAGAACGCCAAGCCGAAATTCGGAATGCAAAACCTCACTATTGCGGAGCTTTCCGGAGCTCCGAGTTAGTTGTTGTTTGGAATACAGCAAGAGAACAACATTACATTGGCGCTGCGAGCAAACGCCTGATCCTCGCCATGTCCCTACTGTCACTACCGCCTCCGGAGCCATTCCCGATCTACAGCAGTCTCTACGATGCTGCTGCCCATTTTCCTGCCTGGGAACGGTGTTTCCAACTCTATGTCGCAGCAGCCGGCATCTCGGATGACACTCGCCAGAGAGACACTTTCCAGTATGTGGCCGGCAAGGACATCCAGCAGCTCGTCCCTACGTTAGCCAACACTGGCAACGATCTCGACGGCCTCATAACCGCCGCCGCCGACTACTTTCAGTCGAAGCAGAGCCCCAGCATGGCCCGCTTCCACTTCCGGCAGGTCACCCAGCAGCCTGGCGAAACATTAGACACGTTTTATACTCGTTTGCTGGCATCGGCAACGACCTGCAGCTTCGCCGACGATGCCCAGAAGAACGTGGCTCTCTGTGATCAAATTGTGGCAGGATGCACGTCCGATCCACTCCGCAGAAAACTGCTGGAGACTGGGTCCCTTGATCTCGCCAAGGCGCTCAAGGCCGCCAGAGCATTTGAAGCGTCAGTGGAACAGACGACGGCGTTCCGGCGCACACAAGACTCGATCAATGCCCTCCGTCATCAGCCACCATTCTACAAAAGGACACAGCCGCCTCCTGCTACTGTTTCAACTCCGTCGCGTCGACCGATGCAGTCTTCGCCACATCCAGCTGCAAACTCGTACCACCAGCCACCTGCCCCAGTCGCCACTCGCGCTCCAGGCCGGCGGGAATCCAGCACATTGCTCTGCTACCGCTGTGGAGAGCCAGGCCACCCTGAGTCACGTCGCTACGCAGTTTTGTACTGTAAACGTCTGCCCATGGGCGTATCGTCCGCATCCGAGATCCTACAGCGCACACTGGACGCCATGGCTCGCTGGCCTCGACGGTGTGAAGAACGTCCACGACAACATCTTCAACTTTGGTAAGAGCGTCGAAGAGCACAACCGACGACTCGCCGCCTGCCTCCAGCGGCTCCAAGATCACAACGTTACACTCAACCGAGCCAAATGTCACAAATGTCACATCCTCAAGCCTCGGCTCAAGTTCATGGCTAGCGTCTACTCCGACAAGGGCATCCGCGCCTCTCCCAGCCACCAGCAGTCTGTGGCTACATTCTCTACGCCATCTTGCGTCAGCGACATACAGAGTTTCCTGGGTCTCACCAACTTCCTCCGCCGTTACATTTGTAACATGGCCGATCTCACCACGCCACTCCCTGCTCTCACTAAGAAAGGTACTGTTTGGCGTTGAACTGATGTTGAGCAGCAATCATTTGATGCACTGAAGAAGGCCATCGCCGAAGACTGCATGCTGCAATACTTTGACCGCAACACATCACTGTATGTCGACGCACCGGCCTCGGCGCAATCCTGTGTCCACGCCAAGACAACGGCCACGATGCACCTGTAGCATTCGCCAGCCGTGCACTCTCCGGCGTCGAGCAGCAATATTCTCAAACTGAACGGGAAGCATTGGGTGTCAAGTTTGGCTGCCTTCGCTTTCACCACGACTTGACAAGGTGATCCACAGTTCACCGTTGTCACCGACCACAAGCCGCTCCTGCAACTCAAGGCCGTCGGATCGAGACCTCCACCATGAATTGAGCGCATGGTCCTCCGCCTGCAGGATCTCAGCTTCCAGCTCCAGTACAAGCCTGGCCCAGAAAACCCGGCCGACGTCGTCAGTCGCAATCCGCAGCCTCATCCCGACTTGCCAAACATCGGCGCACAGGAAGACACTGCGTACATACATGCCCTAGCTACAGCAGCTAAGCCGAATGCGTTGGCTCTGAAGGAGATTGCGGACGCCACCACCGCAGACACCACACTGCAAGCCATCCTTTCCTCTCTGCAATCTGGCCGCTGGGATTCCAGCCACACCACGGTCCGCCCGTACTTTGCCCTCCGCCATGAACTGTCTGAGAGTGACGGTCTACTACTCCGCAACGACCGTCTCGTCATTCCCACGGCCCTCCAACGGCTTACCCTGCAGCTTACACATGCGGGCCACCAAGATATTGTCCGCACCAAGCAACGGCTCAACAGCAATGTTGGGTGGCCCAACATGGCTACTGAAGCCGAAGCACTCTGCCGGCAATGTATTCCGTGCCAAGCAACTCTCTCAACGACACCGCTACGTCCGGGAGTCCGTGCCCACACCACCGTCCACCAAGCCGTGGCAACGAGTCTTCGTCGATTTGTATGGACCCATGCCAAACGGTCAGCACCTGCTTGCCACTATCGACCAGTAGACTCGCTACCCGGTCATCAACGTGTTCAGCACGACACCCACTACGGCCGGTGTTGTAGCTCTGCGCTCTACATTATCCATGTTCGGCTTGCCCGAAGAGCTAGTCTCGGACAACAGTCCTCAGTTCCGTTCTTCGGCTTTTGCTGATTTCCTCGCGCAACACGCTATCCAGCACCGCCACACCCCTCCTTTGTGGCCACAAGCAAACGGAGCAGTCGAGTGCCTCAACCGTACCATTGGCAAAGTTCTGCGAACTGCCAAACTAGCTGGCGAAGACATCAATGTTGCATTTGACCAATGGCTCCTAGCGTACCGCACCACGCCACACCCTGCCACTCACGAGGCACCGGCAACACTCATGTTTGGTCGCCCCATCCGCGACAGCATACCCTGCATTACGGCAGCCGCACCAGACTTGCCTTCAGCTGCCCACCGTGACCAGCAATTCCGCCAATCCCAGTGCGACGCTGCCAATGCCACCCGCCGGTCAAACGCCCCCATCCTCACTCCTGGTCAGCGCAATGAGCAGGCACACAAGCTCTCACCACAGTGGGATCCCAACCCCTGGACCGTGGACCAGATCTCTGGGTCTACGGTGACGATCTCCAACTCAGCAACTGGCCAAAGATCGACTCGCCATAATTATGTCGTTCGTCAAGCCCGTAATTGTTGTCACACAGACAGCCCATCACCCACTACCAGCTGAAAGTTCTGCCACCACACCTTACAAAATTACAACAAAATCACATGCAAGAAGTCCTTTCACTTTGACTACTGCTCGTTGCGTGACATCACTCCTCACCAAAGGACTTCCTGGGGATCACAATCCTAAACAGACAAATGTACGAATACCGCAACTGACTCTGTTGTTCTGCACGCCACGATCAACACGACTGCGTGCAAGACACAGCTGATCATCGTCGCTGTACTCTTCCCTGAGCACGTTACCCTGTCGCTGCAGCCTGCGACGGACATTCCATAGTTCCACCAACTTGATGGCTTGATGTTCCCATTGACGTCGACCATGCGGTGTTGCCATTGACGACCTTCAACTTCAGGTCCTTGCCGTGGTCCGCACCACTCAAGAGATGGGCCACATTTGGTGTACTTTCACCCAGTTGGTCACTTATTTTAACCTTGCCGACTTTCCACTGCCGGACTGTTGCTTCAACAACTGGCGGAGAGCACATACGCATATCATCACTCTTCCTTGCAAACATCATTTCCGTCTCCACCACGTCCTTATCAGCCTGATCCATGCCTGACACCCCCAAGGCACTGTCCACTGTGCCGCCGGGCTGGTGGAGCGACGGACCGATTCTCCAGTGACGGTCGTCGTCCACAAGGCTGTTGGAGTGCGCATCCAAGATGTGCTAGAGCTGTTCAGTGTCGTGCAATAGCTATCGCATGAGCTGATTGTTTAGTAACTGGTGGTGTTAGTGGACAGTATAGCGTAACTTGTAGTTCCTTGGTCTTTCTCTTTTGTATAAACAAACTAGTAAGCTAACGATAAACTAGTTATGAGACAATTCGACTGGCACAAATTACAACAAAATCACATGCAAAAAGTCCTTTCACTTTTACTACTGCTCATTGTGTGCCAACCACCATCATCAGTGTGCGCATTGCGCCTGGTTTGGTGCATGCCTGGTGGAATCTGACATAGCGGCTGATGCAGTGAGCACGTCAGGTAACACCTAACGCATTGAAAATGACTCAACTATGACTTGGTTCGATTGCAAAAAACCTAATGATAGTGGTACCGAAACATTCGGGTAACCGGAGTAAGTGCCAATTGATATTTTTGGCTCCAGTCAGTCAAGTGATTCAATTGCAATACAATTATATACGTATGGTGGAACTCACTTAGTACGTACCCGGGTAAGACATACACCTGCATAACACGGTCCTCTTTTGTCGCACGGATTTTCCTCCCATAAGCGCATATTCAGATGTGTACGGATACGACTGCTTCCTTCTGTTCATGTGGTTCATTGTCGCTGTGTTACTGTATGCAGATCTCACTCAGCTCTGCTCTCCGAGCATGCTGCTTCCAACACGACTTCCCGAAAGGTATGTATGGTGGCTAATAAATAATGCGAGAGTCTTTACGGATTCCAGTGCTCTCATGCCTTTTGCAAGTTCCTTTTGTAAGTCAAATGGAACATGGTTTGTGGTCAATACTTCAGCAGTAGTGGTGCGAGAATATTCGGGTGTCAAATTGCTCGGAATTGATGTATGATAACGGAGAATATACCAACATGTGAATCACTTGGAGATATGGTCTGCCAGGTTCTATTCACACTCACTAGGCTAGACCCTCTCGAGTATTGTACAACAGTTTTGGCCCAGGAGTGGTAAAGGGCACGGGGCAAGCTATGTCGGGACCTGCTGTAAAGTCTGCCATACACGAGCTGTACGTCTTATCGGATGGGATATACCCCTGATATTGCTGATAATGAATGGCCCAGTTTCATTGTACTGCTGTCCGCGATATTATATCCTTAGTGGCATTGTTAACTTCTCATTGCTTGTGGGGACGCATGGATCATACGTCCATCCAACACCTGCCAATCGGAACCCACCGACAACGCTGTCGGTTGGGTTGGACCACAATCGGTTGGTTTTTGAGTCCAAGATGCCACCTAGGTAGCACACAGCATTGCTAATCTGATTTTAAATTAGCTGCGCAAATCCTGGCATACTGCCCGCAAATGCATCTAACTCCCAGGGTACTTATGAGTTTTTAGGTCTATGTGGTACTTGTGTCGCATTGGCAGCCACTGTTCCGTTCTGTATTTTCTGGTCTATGTGTCGTTGAATCTCCACAGAAAATGTGCTCGCGCATTAGAAGGAGGTGAAAGATGCACCTGCAGGAGAATACATGCTTAAGAGAAGGCAGAAACATGCCCGGATCCACCAGAACTAGTGCTGGCAAGTCAACAGAGGCGAGTACTGATAATGTTCCAGATTGTGGTAGGATCACATAAGCAAAATTGACACTGGGAGGCACGGCGGTGGGTCAGCTCATGGCCAGCGCCAGCTCCAGTGGATATCACGTGCATCCAGTTCTAGTAGGGATATCAGCGAACGCACTGCGCAGCCCATCTGCGCAGGTCAGCCTGGCCCATCTACGCGCGGCCGACAAGAAAACTCATGAACACTTTCATTTTTTTGCAAAATAAATCGTGCGAAGAAGATGCACGGAATGGCTGAAAACTAGGCTGAGGAATAGTAGCATCCAGAGACTCTCAAACAAATTCATGGTCCATCGCTTCTGACAATGGCAGCGAAGACATCAGGGAGCTGATTGCAGCAACTCTCTACCAAGCGCGATGCTGGTTACTCACCAGGGCAGGGCGCTTCCATCGCGCAAGAAATGGCCGCGAGCGAGAAATGGAAGTCCGATTTTGGAACGATCCAACCAGGGAAATTCCTTGAAAATTGGCCTGAACACCTCTCATACTGGTGTTTCACGATGTGCAAACTTTCAGAGAAATCGACCGGGGAGAACGTGGTGAGTACGTGGGTCCTCGAGTATCGCGTATGATTTGAATGGTCGCGGGGACAGAAGAACAGTAATTTTACGACTCCCAGCGGTGCAAGCAGACCGCGGCCATGTTTTCTCTGTCGGCCGCGATCACGTTCAAAAAATCGATGACGCAATGCATGCGCAGAGGCCTGCGCAGTGCGTTCGCTGACATCCCTAGTTCTAGTACTATAGTATGACTGCTACAAAGTAGTGCGGCCCAAATAGAACTCGGGTCAGGTGCCGAAGAACTGGGGGGTGGGGGGGCATGTATCAATGAATGGTAATAACTCCGGAAATCATGCTGGTGTATCGAGGGCGTGGGCCAATGAAGTGCTGGATTGATGGTGGACGACTGAACTGCAATCTTGGCTGGTCCCACTATCGCAGAGACAGCACTTCCTGGTGCAACCACCCTATCCTGCAATCTATATAATAATTGTTATAAGAGATTTGTGTGAACGATTTTAGCATGATGCAAGTCAGCTTATTGTGCTGGGGGCCTGGCTACATGTCACTATAGCTTTTTATAGACTCGATCACCGCATTACGCTGCCTTGCGTTGACTTGATTGAGCACTCTTTTTGGTTAGTGTCAAAGGTATATGTAATATGTATCTGCCTTCGTGCAAAGCTCTCTTTGTGCGTGTCTTGCAGATAGCTCGCTGACTTTGATGCTTTGAGCCATTTTCAAATTGCTTTTTTTGTTCATTTCATATAGACCGTATTGCCATTTGTTTAACCTCCCGCTCTGAGCTCCACTGATGGGACCTAAAAAAGGCTGAAACAGCTGTCTGGAGATTGAGCGTCAGTATTATGGATTTAGAATACACGATCTGGGGACAGCACTAGTACTGTCTAGCTGTTTCGTCCTTTGTGGACTCATTAGCGAATCACGGAGAAATAACTCTTAACTAAGGATGAACCTAGCAGCCATGAAAATAGATAAATAATGCCTCCAAGCCAGAATTCAAGGCTACATGTGTAGGCCCGAATGTGCCTTGCCCAAGTGCTGAAACTGATAAGTCATTGAGATACGCATAGAACATCTGGCAAAGGAACTACTAAAGCCCCCACAAGCACGGTATTCTACTTCAACAAGGAAGAATTTTGAAAGCATGCACAGCCCTACATGTATAATGTTGGTATAGGTAAGCCTTGTTTGATAAATTAACATGACAAGGCGGGGGACGCACTGTGTTAAAAAACAGTGCTCCTGATACACTAGTATGTCCTCGGCTTTGTCACATGCTGTCAACCGATCAACACATACAACGTTGCATGCAAAACGGCTGCAGCCTCGAAGTACGGAGTGCTATTTTGGAAAATGCTAGATGTACAGCCTGTACTTATACAGGTGTTCTATCAACTAGTGCCATTATGACAACGGTAGCTGAATGATACATGTACATAAACCCGGGGTCATCATTTCAAGAACCTCTGGGTCTAAGCCCGAAGTAACATTCAACTACATGACTGTATACACCATCATGTATACACCATCTTCGTAGTAACTGAGTCTACCCCTCACCCACTACTGCCACTGTGACCACAATTGCGCACAAACAGAGGAGGACCTACTTCTAACTACAGTGCTGGCCAAAGAAATCCAACCTTATGAATAAAATTACACCGGGCGCTATGCAGCCCTAGTAGTAAACATACTGGACCGGTCTGTGCTCTCGAACGCGGCGCTACTTTATTAACGAGGTTGGATTTCTCTGGCCAGCACTGTACAAAATACACACATGCACACACAACACTGCTAGGCTTTCCACCACCACACTAGGTTTTGAAACCGAAGAGTGGCAAAATTCAGGGCCAGACTAGAAAATCTGGGGAGACCTGATGGTTTTTTAAAGCAAAACACAGCCAACACTCTGCAGCCTCACAGCCTCCGGCAGGTTTTCCCGAGCGCAAAAAATTAAAAGTTGTTGAGGCACCACGAATACAGTCGGGCGTCACAGAACGTGGGACCCAGGAATGTACGTGTATACCTCTAGGTACACCACAGCCAATAACGTTAAAAAAAAGAAACGCAGTGTCAATAGACTCAAGTCTCTGCTTTTCTGGAATACAGATTCTGCTACACACGTATTGCTCACTATCCAGTGGGATGTGCATCTAAGAAAGTGGTACAAGAAGTCAAGGAACTAAGCCTAAGGCCAGATTGCTGAAAGGTTTTGTATAACTGACGAGCCTGACCCCTTGGAAACAACAGCTGTGGATGCGTGGCTCTACTGTAATAAATGTACAGGTACACAAACAATTTGAATGCAGAAATAACAACAACAAACAGGGAGAGGTGTAGGAAAATATACTCGGCCCCTAGTGAATTTGCTTGTGTATTAGCTTGAAAACTTTGGGTACACTTGTTGAGAGACCTAACTGCATGCAGCTAAAATATGGAGTGCCGTTGTCACCGACGACTTTTCCAGTAAAGTTGCGGCTAACATCTTCTCAGGTATTCCCGGGTCTTCGCTAAGGCCGTAAGGGTGGATGATATCATGTGCGTCTTCTATTGCTGATGTCGCTACACTCGATGGTGGTGCTGATGTACTGATTGTGGTGGAAGATATTGAGATGCCGTATGTCTCGAACCTTTTCGCTAGGTCTCCGCGGCCATCACGCAAGAGGGTCGGGAGCACCACAACTGCAACGCCACAGATCCAAGGATCGATTCTCGGACAAAACATTCTTCAGATTGCCAAAGGTCCCCAGTGCTTGGCAATACTGGCCTGTACAGCATGAACACACCACACATACGCCCACACACCATGTACCATGTAAACGCCCGTTGCAGGAGAAGCACGCAAATCTGCAAATGAATTGGATGTGCACCCACAGATTTTCTCGTATAGGAACAATAGCTGATCTGAATCTGAATAAAACAGATCAAGACTAGTGCCAGATAACAGTCTAATCCGCACAAGGCAACTGGCGCAGCCATGTGAATCTCGAGCAAAATGGACAAACATGTCCCCAATTATCAGCAAACAGGTGTGCGTTACAGGATTGGCCTGGCAACTTCAAACAGGCACAATCCACTAACGTGGTGCCCCTTCAACTTCAACGGGAACACACCGATACAAACACAGCCCCACAACAGCAAAACGGGAACGCCGTTACAAATATGGTGCCCTGGCAACTTAACGGGAACGCACCAACACAAGCTGGCCTGGCACCTTCAAACAGGCACAACTGACAAAACACGGCATCCGGCAACAGCAAATGGGTAGGTACACCGTTACAAGAACAGTCCATCGCACCAAAATGCTGCTGCCACAACATTATAGCAGCAGCACGCCAGACATGCATACATGGCATTCCCAAAAGCAGATACCTGGAGTCAAATTCATCCATCACACTGTTTGTTAGGGCTGAATTTTCCAGTGACATTAGGAAATCCCGCCTAAGGCTCATGTGATGAGATCTGTACACCAACTCAGGGTATATTCTAGGACGAATTTCCAACCGGTTACGGTACAATGAAGAGTCGGGGGGTCCCCCTCCGGAAATAGTTTTCAAAATACAACCCAAATATGGCACTCGACAGCAATTTAACAGATTTCTTGGTGCTGGAGTGTCGCGCGGAGCTGTTGGACTGTAGCAACGCCGTTGCTACAGCTCGATGACGTGGTTCGACCGTACAAACCGTACAAACTCGTGACCCTAGTACCAGCCCACGCGGCTTCGCTGGAAGTATCCGTCCAGAAAAAAGCGTATGACCATTCACAGCTCCATTCACCCACAGAAAAGTACGGGCGGTTGGAACTGATTTGTAACTTTTCAACCGGTCGCCAACTATTTCAACCGGTCGAAAACCGGTTGGGGCGGTTCTAGAAAGTTCCCTGCAACTATAGTCACAGTATCAATGCACATTAGTAGAGCATAAGAACTCACTTGCGCTCATACCCTGTCACGTAGAGATGCTACTCTACGTGTACTGTTCCGATGTCCATTGGGGTGGTATGCCGGCCACTTGCCAGATGTAGAGCTTTTAAGCCGTACTTTGCCACCGTCTGCTTGCCGTATCACCACCTCACTTGCAACTCTGGATTCCAGGACTGTCGCTCCAACAATGGGCATGGAGCAGGAGCTAACCTGATAACAGTTGAGAGCGTGACAGAGTATCTTATTTAAATAAGGCCGAGTAAGGTGGATCCCTTTGCCTTTGGCAAAAGTGAACACAGGCTTGGTGCTACAGGCATGGGCTGTCATGTACCGGAATAGCCAATACCGGGCATGTTTGGTCGACAGTAGATGGAACTGCGACGGCTCCACCGTATTTGGCCGCGTCTTAGTGACCTTCAGGCGCAACGTGACCAAGTCAGGTGCGAGACTCCCAGCCTCCCACACAAATACTCTTTGGCTGTCAAACGAGTGAATACTAGTAGATGATGCTAAATACTCGCTGGCAAACAATAAGCCATACAAGGCCAGTAGTATACTTACCCACAGCATAGCCTGATCTACAATATGACTGATTGGATCGTTGTAAGTATTGCCGAAAATGGATTAAGTCGTCCACTAAAAGCTCTTTGAAACTCGGAGGTTGAGCCAATATGGCAATAATAAAATTAATGTAGAAAGGAAAAGGACGTATGGATATGAGTGTAGAGTAATTGTCACTATATACTAAATACAGTCAGAAAGTGCAACAACCCGGCACTAAAACATTTGACGACCCGACTCCTGGCTTCAACACATCTCCGTAGTGTTAAGGAGAGACCAAAGAGGGAAAGGTAATACTGGTTTCGTCATCGTCCAGTAACAATCAACATTTCTTGTTCTTGTGGGACTGTAGCTTCAACTACTAGCTTGTGCTCATTTTCGTTGCGCTTACCTTCCCCTCTTTGGTCTCTCCTTTTAACCTTGAACCTTCCAAGTTGGAAGGCTGTTGGTTAGCGCTACGGAGATGTGTTGAAGCTAGGAGTCAGGTCGTCGAATGTCTCAGCACTCTGTCAGTTTTGTGCCTAGTTGTTGCATTTTTTTACTGTAGTAGCTAGTTACAGTGGTGGACAGTTACTCTTAACTCGTATCCATATGTCCTTTTCCTTTCTAATAAAAGCTCTATCCGCAAATATGCCGAGGTGGCTTGCCGTATCTCCCTCTATGCCATGCAACACAACTGTTGAGCGAGCAGCTTTTAGGCCAGCCCCATTGCACAACAGGTAATAGGCTACTAATAGCGTAACGCAGCTAGGTAAACACGAATCGATGAAAGAGGCAGACTTCTTAGAACAAAGAGACTAGTTGTGAAGGACACAACATTTTCAGCAGTCAGCAGTAGGAGAAATTGCTCTTAATTATGCAGCAATACTAGGCTTACACGTTTGTGTCATGCGTTCTGAGACGGAGTCCTTGACTAGCTCGTCACTGGCCGCACTCAGAGCAGCAGTCGTCACTACACATGGGTTGGGAAGCAATGGACAAAATTAACACTTGCCATGCACACATGCACTGCTTAGGGGTCATCGCAAAAGTTTTCTGTCGTCCCTGAAACGAACATCGTTCATTTCGTACTCGGACCCCCTCCCCTCCCTCTGAAACGAACACAGCTTGCTATGCTGGACGACGAAAATCGCATGCATGTACATGTCATATGTACAGTGTCGGTCGACTTGTGATTTTGGCTCGCACCCCCTCCCCCCCAAATGAATCATGTTCGTTTCAGGGACGACAAAAAACTTTTGCGACGACCCCTTACCAGCTAAGTTAATATGTCATACTGTACTGCAGCAAGCAAGGAACTGGCAATACCTGCACCAGGCCTATCTACTGTGACCCATGCCATTGTGAATGAAAAGAGGCAGCATTTGACAGTATGAGCGGTGTGATGAACGGGAATGCATAATACAAGCCAGTCGAGCATTGGTACATGTACTTACGGACGCAAGTTGGCTGCACACCGCTCCACTGGCCGTTGATTTCACAAGTACACACGGCCGAGCCCATAAGGACATAGGGAGACTGCACACAAACGTGGTCGTGTTGCTGAACATCAAGCCGTTCACGGTCATTGAGCCCAGTGCCGGTGGTGACAGGACCTGGCAGTCGGTTTGACCTGCACAAGCACAGAGTGCACAGAGCACAGGCATTCAGTGCATGCATGTTTGGCCTAGGGGTGAAACGAGTGCCAAAATTGAGGACTCGAGTACTCTTTGAAAAAACGAGCGAGTATTCGAGCGAGTACGAGTATTTTACTGACAACATAAAACAATGTACTGCACACACTCTCGTAACACTGAACTTATTACACCTGACACATGTAGTCTTGCATGCAGCCTAGTGCAGGAAATAGTCTGAACTACGTCTTTTGTTGGTAAGTAGGGACAAGTAATAATTTCACACTTGCATGGGTTATCAGTACTGGTCAGAGTAACAGACGTGCTTGATGTACAAGCATACAGTACACTGTGCATAAGATACTTGAGTATTTTGCGAAACGAGTCCTCACTCCTTTCGAATTTTCGAGCAAGCGCTCGAGTATTCGATATACTCGTTTCATCCCTAAAACGTTTGCGTATGTGTGCGTGGCACAGACATTGGTTTTGAATACATTGTAGTACACGCATTGTGTAAAGGAAATTGATGCGAAGACTGCCTCAACATGGCCATGCAAAGTAATAAAATAAATACAGCAGTGAATAGCGGTCAACAGTAGCTCTACATTTTGCTTGTAATAGAAGTCATTAGCGTCAGAGCAAGAAGAGGGACAAGACGAGTCAAGGGACAATCCGGAGGACGCAATATCATACGACCAACTGTTTGTTTCTACCAGCGTTATTGTACCGTCGACACAGCTCTGGGCGAATGCCGCGGGGCCTCCCAGCGTGTCAACGGCAGTGGGTGATGGGCAGATAACAAGGTAGCTTGCGGACAACATCGGTGGCATGAAGCCTAGTGACTGCCAAGCGTCTTGGCGCGACGGGCGAGCAGTACAGTGTCATGCCCCAGGGGCTGCTGTGGCTGTCGACGTCGGCGGGTCTTGAGGTGCGTTCGCAGGCCTTCATGGCGCTCGGACAACTGCAATACTAGTACACAGACTCTCACTACTAGCTACATAGTACTCTGATTCTGGCACGTTATTTCTGCATTGAATAGTGATTGATTTTCCGCGCCGAATATCCGACGCTGCATGCATGTCCAATGCGCGTCAACAGTACTTCACACTTTCCTTTTCCCGCGTTATCACCTCAGCTATGCCAGTTTTGTATGTGGAAACCCCCTATATAATAGCAGTTTGGTCTATATGTTGGACTCAGTAGAGCGTCCGGCCCCTATATGATGTCCAACCCCTATATAGAGTCCATTGGTCCAAAATCCACTGTACAGAGTCCAAACTTGGAATCAACTGTGAGCTCAAAGTTTAGATGGACATCACTCCCTGTATAGAGTCCAGCCAATTGTCTTCACCCCTATATAGAGTCCATTGGTCCAAAATTAACTGTACGGAGTCCAAACTTTGAAATCAACTATAAAGATTAAAGAGTCTTATGTGGACAACACTCCCTGTATAAAGTCCAGCCAATTAGGCATCCCCTATCGAGTTCGAAATTAGACATAGGATCTGCTGTAAGCAGTGAATATTAACCAGAAAACGGCCTCCCCCTTTAATCCTTTGCATCATTCACTTCTCAAGGTAAAAAATATGTATTGAGGCGCCACTGCAGCCACTTCATTACATGAAAAACCCTACAAACACCATCCTCAAATCAAGTGGTCTCTTCGCAGACGCTGTAAATTACAATATCTCAATCATGTAGTGTTGCCAAATAATTGTGCACGCACACACACACATGCACACACCCACACAACGCCAAGAAAATACCTAGAAAAAAACAAGAATCGAAAGAGAATAATGGAGAGCCCGGGATTAATTATTTGTTTTCAAATTATTGCGCGCACACACACACACAAACTTGTACAACGCCAAGAAAACACCAAAAAAAGAGTAGAGACACAATACACGCGCAACTCCAACAGCCATGCAAACGTCCACGCATTTACAAGTAAAGTCAAGAGGGATAACAAATAATTATACGAAACGAATGCATACGTGGGCGGATGCACGCACGTTTACATACATGTAGTAGTGTAAGAGATTAACATAGTGCAGTAGTCGGCATAATACTAGCACATGCTGAGAGTGCAATAGCAAGCTTCGCCATTGCTCATGGCCATGCAAATGTTCAGCAGAACTCAGTTCCGCAAGCTTCTGAAAATCAGCACACCTGGAACAAATAGATAGCACAAGGATACGCTTATTACCGTAATGATGCATGGGAGCACACAACTACCAAGTTCTCAACGAATGTGATGCTCAATGAAAATCAATCCACTCAAAGACCTGTGAACAGGTGACGGTGGGGACAATAATCTATTAGTAATACGAGGAATAAGATCGTTTGTGCACACTCAAGACGCACAGACACACCACCATACATGTAGTGTACACAGTGTTTCACTTCACTGCAACTAAATTGAAATGAGATGATTTGAACAATCTGTACAGCGTTGCCGTCAGTCAGTCTTCCCCAAGATGGAAATGCAATGATTTGTTGTCACGAGGCAGTTTCACTGACACAATGTCATGTTCGTGACATCAAAACGGTTACTTCAGGGAATACGAGTATTAGCTTGAGAAGCTTTTTCTTGTCATTGGCATACACGCAATCCTCCTACTACTACTAGTACACTGGCACTGCGTTTGTGGATCCCATTGTATTTGACATCATACTAGAGGAAGAGTGTCGTGGAGTTTCACATAATTATCACAGGGATAAAAATACATTTCTCATGAAATAATTATTATAATTGATGATAGCTAGACGATCGTATACGATTGATGCAAAGTCCTTGCAGTCCTTGAGGACTATTACGAAGTGGTTGATTACTTTTAGGGCATTCATTCAAGCAACATCAAACAAACGCGATACGCTCCTTGAAAATGGAAAAAAATTCAAGCATAACGACAGAACAGCAGACCAATCGAAACGAGTAAAAGCTTCCTTACCTCAGTCATCGTCCTGCCATGTAGTTGGACAGCCTTTTGACACGGTGGTACAGGCAGCTCTTGTCCAGTCAAACAAGGGTATCCTTGTGGCGTCGAACGAAAGAGAGTGTCAGTGTATCTGACTCGTCAGATTGGAACTGTGCTGAACTTTTCTCTTTCTCCGCTTTCTGCTTTCATCCCTCGCTCTGATGAAACCGTTCAAACGTCTTCAGACTGGCAGCAATGGCCAGCCAAACAGGGGATCCTTGTGGCGTCGATCGAAAGAGAGTGTCAGTGTACCTGACTCGTCAGATTTGAACTGTGCTGAACTTTTCTCGTTCTGCAATTTCTGCTTTCATCCCGCGCACTGATGAAACGTCTTCAGAGAACCACAAGACGCTTTCCAGATTTGATTTTGAACGTCTCCTTATCCTCCTTGGTTACCTCGTGACAGATTACTGTCAGCAACTTCACAGCAGAACTGGCAGCCATGGCTGAAGTGAAGAAAGGAATGCGCTGCCACCAGGCAAGCAAAACTGAAAATGTGTTTGTTCTTTTTCGGGCACAAGACACAGTCACAGGACGGCGTGACTGGATAAACTGGACTCCTGGACTGTGAATAGGGGACTGGTAGAAAAAGTGTACTCCTTATAGGGGATTGCGCGGCAGGTTGAAGCTGATCAAAACTGAGTGGACTCGTGGACTCTGTATAGTGGATTTTGGACCAATGGACTCTATATAGGGTGCTGGACATCATATAGTGCATGGACTCTATACTGAGTCCTACATATATTTTTAATCATTCAATATTGTCGCGAACCATGGACATACCCTTTACATAAACCACTCGAAGCAGACCATATTTTCCTTAGTGCCCAATTTTCTTGTGAATCAAGACTGAAGAATATTTACAAGGGGAGAGCGATAATATAGGTGAGTCGGAGTGTATGCCTGTAGCAGTAGTGTGCCGTGAAAGTGTCTTGCGTACAGCGTCAGCAGAAATATACAAGCGATAAATATACAAACGCATCGAAATTAGCTCCCAAGGAGTAGCGAAGAATCAAAGAGAAGCAAGAAGAGCACCAAGTTGTGGAACTAAAACAGCTCCACGTGCATGTAGCTGAAAAGGTGACACATAAAGATACGCACGGTGCAACGAGTCCAACTGTGAGCATGAAAATGGATAGTGAAGGCCATCAAAGATGCCGATAGTCGTACACACAGTCCGTGTTGGATGTCGGTGCGTGTGCAAGCCAAGGTGCATGGGTTCAAACTGAATCAAAGGGTGCCCGGAACGGAAACATTAGAAATGCAACGAATTGCAAGGTGAGAAAAGGGTGCCCAGAATTGAACCTTAGAAATGCAACGAAATGCAAAGTGAAAAAGGGGTGTCACAAAGGGATGCGAGTGATTGAACGTACAAATCATGCACTGAACAAGGATACATGTATACGTAGCTGTGAATTCTTGGTTATATACATGCATTGTGCTCGTGACTACGAATAAATCCGATCGCATTCGCGACACTCCCGCCCGCTGAAAGTGACTACCATAGTTATGAAATAGCATACGCGTGAGTGAACAAATACAAACCGTGAATGAAGTGTCGACAGGGAAATTTGAGTGTAAGCAGTTATTTGTAATCAGACTGAATTCGTAATTATCATGGTTTGCATTTCATCGAGCCTTCGTTTGATTTAAAACTCAATAGGTCCAACGTAATCTATGCCTGTGAACTCATACAGTAGCAACTCCATTATTCTTTCCTTGGGCAAAAGCCGGAGGGGGTTTCGGAAGTTGAAACGGGCCACCATCGTGCTGTTTACATGACAAACAGTGTTGTGGTTGTGTAAATTGTATCCATTTCGATTCCGCTCGTTGGTATTCGTCACGTGAGATGGTATTGCCAACCGATTTTTTTTGGATTTTATCAATAAATTCCTGTACGTACGCTGTGACTCTGACTAGTTTCCCGAAAGACGTGAATTGTTCCGGGTCCATGCCTGCTGGTGATCCGTCAGGACCCTCCCCCTGCACGAGAATAGCAGTGACAGGAGTATCCTCCATTGGATCGTGGCTTGTCGTTGGCAACGTAGTGAGTACATGTACTGCATCATCCGTAATTCCATGATACTCCGTACTTCCTGATGGTAAATACCCGAACGTTGATTTTACCATGTACATGCCATTCTGCAGTGCAATACTGCTGTCCATTATGAATCTGTGATAGTAGTCTACACCAATCAGTATGTCCACGTCACACTTCTCTGGTTCCTGTACAGGTGGTTCCGCAAGAGGCATGTCATGCAACTTCATATCATTTGGAAGCGGGAATCGTTGAATTGGGTGACACAGGATTGATGTGACATTTGCGCAGACCTCCGTGCAAGATTTGTCTGGTTGTTCAATTCGTAGATTGACTCTTGGCATGGTTTCGATTTTCCGTTTTTCGTTACCAAAGCTTGACACTGAGATTGTGTCCTCGCCAATCTTGTTACATTGCAGTTTGTGGCATAGGGATTCAGTGATAAAGGATCTAGTTGCTCCGGTGTCGAATAAAATCCGAGCATGGCATTCCTTGGTCCCACTTTCATTTGATACTTCTGTAGCTGCAGTTTGTAAAACCGTTTTCTTGTGATCTGAGATTGCCACTCCCATTGTTGTTTGAATTGGGGATGACACATTCCCTGTGCCAAATTTCTCTGGACAGATACTGCAATAGTGCGTTGCGCGTTTGCAGTAGTAGCATGGTTTACTGCGCTCACATGCCCTTGCACTGTGTCCAGATTTCAGGCAAATGAAGCACCGTCCATTCAATTGATCTTTTCTGGTTTCTGCATCTGTGTACCTGGTACACTCATCAGCGAAATGCGATTGTCCGCAGTAGATGCATTTACGTTCCATTTTTATCGTGTTTGCTGCCATTGAGTGAGCTACGTGTGTCGTTGGGTTGTATGTTCGATCCCTTTGTCGTTCGTTTCCGCCGGTAGTTGCAGCTTCCGCTGCTTCCATTGCATCTACGTAGTGGTTCATTGCCTCACGTAGACTTCGCACTGTCCATTTCGTGGTAGTGCCTTTCTTTAACTCTAATTGGGACATAACCGATTTCGGTAATTTGGAGGTAATCAGTGGAATGAATAGTGCCTGTGACATGTCCTCATGTAGCGCACCTAGACTTCTGATGTTTGCCTCGACGTCATTCAAGAATTTCCGCAATGATTCAGGTCGGCTAGACGGTTTCTCCAAATCGACTAATGCCAAGTACCGAGCATTGATTACAACATGGTCTTTCCCAAACCGATCCATTAGCAAATCCCATGCAACCTTGTAATTTGAATTTGACAGGGCCAAACCAGAGATACATTCCAGCGCTTTTCCTTTCACGTGTGTTTTCAGGTAAGATAGCTTCTCCACATCAGACAAAGATTTATTTGCGTGAACAGTGGCAGTAAACATATCTTGAAATTCCTTAAATTTCATTACATCACCATCAAAAGTGAACAATTCCAGTTTAGGCAATTTGACCGTGTTACCAGTTTTATTGCTAGCATTACTCTGAGAATTCGTCAAATTTGTCATGATGCTCTGATTGCTTTGATTCATTGATACCATTTCCGACAGCAGTCTGTCGAGTTTGTCGTCATCCATTATAGTTGCTGTAGTTCCTGCCGCCATTGCCGTGGCTGCAGGTTGCGGATCCTTTTTTTGACATTCCATTTGTAAGAATTTTAGTGACACCAAATTAATGTTAGTTACACGTATAAATTCATCCATTAGTTCGATCCATTCCGTTTGATTTTCCTTGAATTCCTGGTCGTCAGACCCTTTTATTTCGTACCTGTTAATTAAATCAGTATACTTTTCCAGCGATATTTCGAGTGCCTCGAGATGCGAGTCCAATTGGAAATTGTGTTGACATAGCTCTCTGACTGCTGCTGGATCCGATTCAATGTCCGTTGAGATTGCCGAGAGGAAACTACCCGTTGTCGTTTCCATATCTTTGATTGTCTTGTGGTGACGAGCAGCCTTTTGGCGCTTGCCCCTCACCGCCGCTTGGTTTTCCATGGTTCGTCGGTCGTTCAAATTCCTGTACTAGGAGAGTCGCCGCTCGACTCTCCCGGGTTTCGGCACCAAAATGTCGCGAACCATGGACATACCCTTTACATAAACCACTCGAAGCAGACCATATTTTCCTTAGTGCCCAATTTTCTTGTGAATCAAGACTGAAGAATATTTACAAGGGGAGAGCGATAATATAGGTGAGTCGGAGTGTATGCCTGTAGCAGTAGTGTGCCGTGAAAGTGTCTTGCGTACAGCGTCAGCAGAAATATACAAGCGATAAATATACAAACGCATCGAAATTAGCTCCCAAGGAGTAGCGAAGAATCAAAGAGAAGCAAGAAGAGCACCAAGTTGTGGAACTAAAACAGCTCCACGTGCATGTAGCTGAAAAGGTGACACATAAAGATACGCACGGTGCAACGAGTCCAACTGTGAGCATGAAAATGGATAGTGAAGGCCATCAAAGATGCCGATAGTCGTACACACAGTCCGTGTTGGATGTCGGTGCGTGTGCAAGCCAAGGTGCATGGGTTCAAACTGAATCAAAGGGTGCCCGGAACGGAAACATTAGAAATGCAACGAATTGCAAGGTGAGAAAAGGGTGCCCAGAATTGAACCTTAGAAATGCAACGAAATGCAAAGTGAAAAAGGGGTGTCACAAAGGGATGCGAGTGATTGAACGTACAAATCATGCACTGAACAAGGATACATGTATACGTAGCTGTGAATTCTTGGTTATATACATGCATTGTGCTCGTGACTACGAATAAATCCGATCGCATTCGCGACAAATATCTACCTTCACTGATGAGCTATGTATTAGCGAAACAGCTGTCTGAAGGAGTTTATCAATATCGTCTACGGAAGTGTCCTCGCAATGATGATGGTTGTGTGCAGGAGGGTCTAGTCGGCTAAAGAGCGCAGTGTGGTGGTGGAGGTGACTCAACATTTTCTTCAATGGCCGAGAGCTCTGTCGCACCCTGTAATAATAATAGAAGTCATGGTACTACTATCAGTGCTGCTGCTGGTGCTTACCTGGAGCTGGTGTGACCTTGCCTGGGCAGTACTGTGCATCAGAGCCATCAGCACAGTCGTACCAAACACCGTCGCAGCGCTGTGATGGCAGGATACAGCCACAGGCTGGAACGCAGGCAGGGCAGGTAGCCAGACTGGCACTGCAGTTGAATGGCTGGATACACGTACCCATACACACAACACACAAAGCAGTCAAGAGATGAAGAAAGTGTCTGCTCGGCACATCTTTTGTACAGTCAAGAGATATTAGCATATTTGGAGGAGGTGGTAGCCTAAAACAGGCTCGACAAAAGTTACCGGCTTATGCCAACAACTCAGTGTTCTGGTAGAGGAGACGGTTCGATACCGGAACGCCTTGACAGCCAAATTTGTATAGACCCAAACCGATCATCAGCGTTGATTTTTCACTCGAAATATGTTTGTGGAAGGAAACTGGCATGTTGAAGTTTGCTCTGGGGCCAGAGTCAATCGAACTGAGCCACTCCTTTGTGTTGACCCATTGCCTCCAAGTTGCCCAATTTTTCGCTTCAAAAAAGTTCAAATCAGAGGTGGCTCCAAACCGGACACGTTTTAGAGTGCACGTCAAATTCACTTTGGGTCTGAAATTAGCTAATTGCTATCGCTCCACGACAGCCAGTACAGAGTAACAATAAGCCTTGTGTGTGCTTCCATTAGTTTTGATTGGTATGCGGTGCTTTATTGGCAAGAGGCGAGCCGCTGTTTACCTGCGACAAGAAGTTGATTTTTCGAAAGTCGTAAAACTCAAGTCGCAGTGCGAAGCAACACGTCAAAAACTCACCTGCTTGGTATGGCGCGTCTGGTCATCGCAGAGCCATGAAATTTTGGCTCGGAGTATAACACATCGTAGTCTCACTGTGACATATGTTTTCTAATCAAAATACCAAGAGAGAAAGTGAATATGAGTCCGTTCCGGTTTGCAACCTGTGTCCTATTTGAAACCGTCGCCTCTACCCGGTGAAACACCCTAACCATACACCTACAAGTATAACATATATCCTAAGGACTCAGGCTGAGATGCCCGACTGGTCCTGGGTCCTGTGATAAGCACGATCATCATTTGTGATGATGAAAAGTGACAGGTAACACCCAGACTATTACATGCTCTGTAAATAGGAAAGATCAACGCCACCAGAATCTGCCTTCCTACAAGCCTGAAGCTTCTCTACACAAGAGGGATATATCGGCTCTCTTGAAATTCAACTTACGATTACATGAGGCAGCTGCCCCACTCCAGGAACCGTCAATCTGGCAGATGCGCACAATGCTTCCCTGCAGGTTGTATCCGGAATTTCAGCCGAAGACGACGCTGCCTCCAGCAGAATAGTTTGTGCCCTGGGAGTAGCCGTTGGTCGGTTTAGCTAGCGGTGTGCACACACCGGCTGTACACGTCACAGGCACGTACACACACAGGCACGTACACACACAGGCACACACACACACACACACAGGCACACACACACACACACACACACACACACACACACACACACACACACACCTTGACCTTGATACACAAGGATTCTTCATTATTTGCCACGTTTGAGCTGAGCTGCGATCATCGCGCTTTGTTGCAGTGTGCTAAAAAAACAAGAACAAAAAAAACGGCCAAAAAAGTGGGGCGGCTGAGGCCGCCCCAGCCACCCCAGCTGTGCCGGCCTTGCATGCCTGGTGTACGGTCTGAAAGATGAAAGATGGAGCTCTTGTATACACGGGCCCGGAAAGTCTGCTTCGCCTGCTCGGCAGCAGCTTCGTAGTGGTGGTCAAGGGTCGAAGACCGACGGATACGGATCAACTCCCCAGTGATCACACCTTTACCCATACTACGGGGGTGGTTACTACCGGCAAGCAGATACAGGAAACGATTGGTGACCTTGAAATGAGGCTTCACCGCCATGTATCCCTTACTACGGAAAACTGTGGTGTCCAGGAAATCAATGCCATCATGTGCCAGTTCATGCGCAAACTCGAGGGCCGAACACTTATTAATCCTGTCTAAAGCGCGCTGAACTTGACCTTCGCAACCATGCAATGAAACAAAAATGTCACTGATAAAGCGTCTATAAACCTGAACCTCTAAACCCTCCCCCTCTAAGATCGGCAAAATGTACCGATTCTCCAAATACAGCATAACAATGTCGGCATAGACCACTGCTGCAGGCGAACCCATGGCAGTCCCTTGGATCTGCGGAAACAAATCGTTATCTTACACGAACCCGTTAGTCTTCCGAATGACTGACATCAAGGAAGTCACTGCTCTTGTTAACCGTGTACGAAGGGCCGGGGGCATCCACCTTGTATACCTGTGTGTGATATACCACGACAATGCCACGTGACCGAGCTCGTTGGGGATGCTGGTGTAAAGGCTGGTCACATCTATACTAAAAATAAATGATCGTCCCGCACAGGCAAACCTTCTACCAAGTTGATGAAATCCGTAGTTCAGGCCAGAACAGTACTTTCCTCACGTACATACAGGTTCAGTAGAAAGTCAATGAACTTAGTGGGATAGTAGCCAGGACTATTCAGACTAACAATATGCCTAACCTTCAGGGCACAGGGCTTATGTGTTTTGATAAGTCTCCTGAAAACGGGCATACGCCCCCGGTGCGACTAAGAACAGTGACATATAAAATGGTCATACGATGCCCGATGCGATGCCTAGTCATGGTGAGTAAACAATTGACTCGGGTCGCAAACACGAAGTCTCAACACAGCCTTGAGCCTGTTGGTTGCCATCGGCAGTCTAGCCACATGTTCATCTAGCCCCTCAGGAAAAAAAACAGTCATTTATAATGTTGGGCATTGTGATGCTGGGCACGACCTATATCATCATAGTGAGATCCGTCCAGGACTACTATCACAATAGACTGCCTTTGAATATGCCCGAGTCTGATCGCGTTCTAATTCCCAAACTATGTGCTGCATGTGTACACTCCGCCTATGGTTAGTCTACTCCAGAGCAACGCCTGGAGAGGTTCATTGGGGGCATGATGTCCCCCCACCCCATCCCCCTTGCCCCCTGCACCTGAAGTACCGGTATTGCCCCTCCCCCCCCCCCCCCAAATAAAGTACAGGACACAGATGGAGCACTGGGGAGCACGTAGCAGTAGGCAAGTTGACGATGCCAGTGCAGACATTTTGTCCGTCGGTCTATGTAACGATAACGACGCGACAAACTGGTGCCAAAACCCGGGATGAGCAAAGGCAAGAACAAGAAAGGTGCTGTAACACCGTCGAAACCGGTTGGAGAGAACGAATCTCCACTGGAAAGTTACAAAGAAGAAGATGACGAACCGTCTCAGGCGATGTCAACACCAGCGGCATCGTCGTTCGTCGCTGCACGCAAGTCGAGGGAAGCTCACATTTACGCGGGCGTCTTGGAACAAGACTTGCAAGCAAGTCTCCAGTATGACGACTGGCGCAAGATGTCTGATGACGACGATCTGGAGACGACAATGGAAGAGTTAAGTATATTTGTTGATAAATTTAATGACTCTGTTATTGTCTTTGAGGGGGTGTGTGATACTCTTGTAGAAACTTCGGGCTCACCCCTGTTATCTCCGGAGGTTGACTTAGACAAATTGCTTCTGTTAGGTGTAGATTGTAACCGTCGCATCAGCTTCCTCAGATCCGTTCTAAAGCAGTTGCACATCCGTCACAGAAGAAACACGGCAGTCGTGACGCAACCCACTACACACACTAACCACGCTGTCTCACCTGAGGTCAAACTCCCCAAGCTGGACCTGCCCAAGTTCGATGGTTCTGTTTTGAAATCTCAAGAGTTTTTTGATGTGTTTGTTGCGACTGTCCATGACAACGCACGCATTTCTGATGTTCAGAAATTAAGTTATTTGAGAGAGTGTCTGGTGGGGTCGGCTAAAGAAGCTGTGGCAGGATATCAGATCACAGACGCCAATTATCGGGTAGTGTGGGGTGTGCTAAAGGAACGCTATGGATCCAAACAGAAATCCATACACGCACACTACACTGCTTTGATGAATCTGCCACCTGCGTCTAACAAGACCCACTCACTGCGCAGCTTGCATGACAAACTCGAAGAACATCTGCGCAGTCTCGCAGCACTTGGCCAAGACGTTGGTCAAGACATCTTCGTCTCACTCATTCTAAACAAGCTCCCTCAGCACACCGTGCTGCAGCTTGAACTGCGAAAACCAACTCAGTGGAAAGTCAGTTCACTGCGACAGGCATTCAGTGAATATGTTAAGGCCAAGGAAGTCGCCGAAGAACAGGGCGCAGTGCATTCAGAGTCCGACCGTGCTCAGACTAGCTCGCAAACCAGGCCTAAACCCAGCCAGAATTCCCACCGATCCGGAGCAACACTGCTGAACGACCGCCAACCCAAGTGTCATTTTTGTAAAGAATCTCACTTCTCGGACGAATGTTTGAAGTATCGTACCGTTGAACAGAGAAAGGAACGTGTCAAGGATCAATGCTTTCGCTGTTTTCGCAAGGAACATTCTGCTCGGGATTGTACTATCACTCGCAAGTGTTACTATTGTTCCGGACCACATCACCGCAGCTTATGTGTCACCAAGTTCGGTCAGGCAACCTCTGCGCTCAACGTCCATGCGGAACCGTTCTCACCCGACACTGCGCTCATCTCGCCTGAGGGCAATGTCAACCTGCAAACAGCGCTGACAGAAGCTAGACACAACTCCTTTGTGAAGCCAGCCCGCCTCCTTTTCGACACGGGTGCATCTCGGTCGTATATCACTGCAGATCTTCGCTCTGCTCTTGATCTTCCTACAGTCGCCACTGAGTCCATGTCCACAGCCACTTTTGGCGCGTGTAGTCGTAAACATCAAACGCTTGACGTCGTCGAAGTCGAGGTTCGGCTGTCCAACGGCTCCCTGAAGAAATTACCCGTGAGCGTCGTTCCAGTCATCTCTAGCCCTATAGCGAAGTACCCCGTCGACGCCACAGGTCACCCTGCTCTGCGTCATCTTCCTCTTGCGGAACCCCTATCCAGTAACCAGGAGTGGGTCACAGTAGACCTTCTTATTGGCAGTGACTATTATTTTGACTTTATTCTATCCGAACGCCTCAACTTCCCAGATGGTCTCATCTTACTGCAATCGACACTGGGCTATGTGTGTACCGGGAAAGCTTCGAGTAACGACCCTAAGGACGCGACATGCTTCTTCTCCTCGAGCGAAACGTCCACCATCGTTCCTGACGCTAATCTTCACCAATTCTGGGCAGCCGATGAGATACAGGAACCAGACGATTGTCGTGATGATGATGCCCGAGCACACCAAGCATTCAAGGATTCGGTGCAATTTGAAGACAACAGATATGTTGTCAAGTGGCCATGGAGAGACTGTGCGCCGCCTCTGCCCGACAACTATGGTTTAGCCTTCGGTCGACTGCAGTCCCTTTACAAGCGACTCTCCACAGATCACCGCCAGCTAGAGAAGTATCATGAAGTCATTGAGCAACAGGCCCAGTCTGGAGTCATCGAAGAAGCACCTAGGTACTCAGACTCTAAGCTCCACTACCTGCCACATCACGGTGTGTTCAAAACAACCAGCACGACTACCAAGTTAAGATTGGTGTATGATGCATCAGCCAAGTCTGCACACGATGCTCCCAGCCTCAATGACTGCCTACACAGAGGACCAGTCCTCCTTCCTGACCTCACAGGAGTCTTGCTTCGCTTCCGAACATTTCCTATCGGCATCATCAGCGATGTGGAGAAGGCCTTCTTACAAGTCAGTCTCGCGGAAGAAGACAGGGACGTGACTCGTTTCCTCTGGGTACGCGACATCCATTCTCCTGTCAGCGGCCAGAATCTAGTCACTTATCGTTTCACTAGAGTTCCCTTCGGTGTAGTCTCAAGTCCTTTCCTTCTTGCGGCTACACTCCAACACCATCTAACGCGTATAGAGTCTCCTCAAGCTCACCACATTCTTGCCAACACATATGTTGACAACGTAGTAGGCGGCGTGTCTGATGTTGCTGCTGGCCAGCAGTACTATACCACAGCGAAATCCAATTTTGCCCGAGCCTCCATGAACTTACGCGAATGGAGCACCAACTCGGAAGAACTTAAGGACCTTTTACCGGAAGGCGACAGAGCAGACAGTGTACTTCAGCAGGTGTTGGGGACCACATGGGACACCAGCCATGACACTTTGAATATCTCCGACACACAGATGTCCCAACGGCTCGTCCGTTCGAAACGCGAGCTACTACAAGCCCTTGCGCACTTCTATGATCCTCTAGGCATCCACGCGCCTGTAGTCGTCAAAGCGAAGCTGATCCTTCAAGAAGTCTGGAGACTCAACTTGGATTGGGATGATCCACTCCCAAACTCTATACATGACGCCTGGTCTACTGTGGCTACAGAAATGGATGTCGCGTCCACATTTACAGTTCCCCGGTACTGCTCGCTGCCGTCTGCAGAAACACACAGCCTTCACATATTCTGCGATGCGTCCCAGTCTGCATACGCTGCTGCAGCATACTTAAAAACCAGCGCTGAAGGGCGCGATGTATCTCACCTCATCTTCAGCAAATCCAAAGTCGCCCCCATCAAACGACCAGAGACACTGACCATACCAAGAATGGAACTTATGGCAGCAGCACTCGGCGCTAAAGTCGCAAGACACCTGACAAAGCAGCTAGATCTAAAGTTCGAACGGGTCTGCCTGTGGCTTGACTCAACGTGTGTCCTGGGCTGGGTTCGAAGTACCAAGAAACTCCCCAGCTTCGTACAGAACCGTGTCAAGTATATCAACGAGTCAGGTGTTGAGTGCAAGTATGTACCTACCTTCGAGAATCCAGCCGACTTGCCTTCCCGTGGCAGTACCATACATCTCTCTGAGGAGTCGTTGTGGTGGCATGGTCCTAACTGGCTTATTGATCCCTCTATCTCCGAACCAGAGTTCCCAGGTACATTCGCTCCTGCATCTCATGTACAGGGGGAGGGTCCTTCGGAATTCGGTCCTGCTAGTGAGACTTCTTGCGACCGCTCAAAAAAAAAGGTTGCAGAAGACTCGGCCCTCTGTTCGACTTCGGTTCCCGGTGATGTCAGTGAGGCTTCTTGCGACCGCTCAAAAAAAAAGGTTGCAGATCCTGCTCTCCGTTCAAAAAAAAAGGAGACACAGACGGAGCCCTCGTCCCCCGTTCAAAAAAACAGGGGCAGCGAGAGCACACCCACTTCCCGCTCAAAAAAAAAGGGATGTGAACCCCCGTTTGGCATTGACATCACTAGATTTTCGTCGTTGAGCAAACTGATTCGAGTTACCGCATGGGCAAGTCGTTTCGTCGAAAAATGCCGCAAGCAAGAGAGATGTCACAGTACACCCTGGCTCTCCTCTGAAGAGCTCCGCAAAGCTCACGTGACGTGGTTGAAGTTTGACCAACGCCAGCAGTACGCTCAGACTTACTCGGATCTACAAGATGGAAAATCTAATCAACTTATTGTCTCTCTCCGTCTCTACACTCATGAAGGAATCATCAGATCTGCTGGGCGCCTACAGTTTGCAGACGTTCCTGAGTCGGCACGTTCGCCTATCCTCCTGTCCAGCAGTTCTCACCTGACCACACTAATAATCAGTGAGACTCACCACAGTCTGATGCATGCGGGTGGTACCCACACATTGGCATCCTTGAGAAACCAGTACTGGATCCCTCAAGGCCGACGCTCCATCAAATCTGTTCTGAAGAAGTGTGTGGTGTGCAGACGTCTGCAAGGTGGACCGTATCATCAGCCACAGATGCCCCAGCTACCA